CAAGATTTTGCATAAAACGGAAAATTATGTTTGATTGATTCGCCGAGCCACAAAAATGAAACAAAAAGGTCGAGTGAGTGTGTGTTTGGAACCCAATCAAAATGGAAATTATTGGCAAGAAGTGTCTGTTACATGGCGACTCAACACCCTCCCAGGATGCAAGGATCGCACAGACCAGAAGGGCCAAGAGGACAAGGAGGGGCAGGACATTCAAATGAAACACGTTCCGGCTAATAGGCACGTACCACGCAGTAGCACCGAAGCGAATGGCCAAGATGTGGCGATAAAGCTGACTCTGACTGGCAAATGAGTTAGTTGCCGGCAGTGGCAAAGGACACCGCGCCAAAAAGGTACGTGCAGGGGGAAGTCCTTACAAAGGAGCCGGGATGAAGATGCTTCGTTCACGCTAACCAAAAAGGTAGCTGCGATTTTTATGGCTCCTGGTGTTTGGCTTCACGGGTAATCGAAAGTTGAGGTAAACAGGGTCGAAAAAAAAGCAAAAGGTGAAAGTCGGAAAGTCGGTAAGCCAGAAAGTAAATGGGAAACGAACTGGAGTTTAAGTGGGTGATTTTTCAGGTACTGTACGACTTGTTAAATTGACGAGTTTTCAATAAAGTAAATAAACCAAAAAAGGAATCAAATTGTGGCTGGAAGGTGAAAGAAAAGAAATGATATTGCCAATTTGAAAAAATGGCTCAAACAGATCGAGTAATTAATGCAAACGATAATGTGATTTTCAATCTAAAGGAATTATTAATGACCTCATTAATTCCCGAGCAAGCCTCTCACTATTTTTTTGCGTCAACAAAGTGTGAAAATCTCATTGCGAGTGAGAAAAGAATAAAGTGTCCAACTATTTTTGAATCATCCAATCCTCTGTGCGCTCTATGAGCTCTCTGTGCTGGCGTAATAACATTTATAAATAATCTCTATAAAACCTTTTTCAACTTGGCATCCATTACGGACACATTTGTCCGCTCGCACACACTCCCATACTGAGGCACTGCACGAGGACACAGATCCTGCCAGACCATAAAATCAAATCAACTGAAAAGTAACAAAAAACTTGGCCAACTAAATGCAATTTATGAAAAAGCACACACTATCGGTGTTGCCATAGAGAGTGTGTACGTGTGTTTATGTGGATGTGTGAGTGAATGTGTTACAATGCAATCCTTTCCTTGGAGGACCTCCTTGCGGGCATGTGTATGTGTGTTTGGGTAGATGTGTTGAGTGCATTTCGTTCGTTGGCAGCTCATCGTTGGTCTCTGTAATTTCATTAGGGCAGTAGGGCAAACCCACACAACCACAAACTTGCTGCCACACACGCACAGTGTGCAAAAAAGCATGTATGTATGTATGTATGGATGTATAAATGTATAACAATTGCTATTGTTTACTTTATTCAATTTTCACACTTTCGAGATTCTTTCAATTTAGGATTTACGAAATTGAACGAAGCAAACATCATTTTTGGCGCCCAAACGTGGGACTTCTTTTTTTCCATTGTGCAAACACTGAACGCCTTGAACAAGAGTTAAGACGTGTTAAGCAGCTGAGCTGAAATTCAGTTCACTTTCACTTAGCCAAAAGCCCAAATCCTCCAGCCGGCAGTCGCCTCCTCGCCCTCATCCACCCCCTCTACTCCATATCACACTCAATCAATAAAAAGGGAAATCTCCACCCGGCATGGCATAGTTTTCCTCTTTGCATTGCCATTTCCATTTTCATTTCCATTCCCATTTCCAAGCCAGCTGCCAGATGTGAGCTGCACGATGAAATCAAAATCAAAAAGGCTTTAACAATACTTTTCGTCTTATGCGCGTACCATATTATGTAATTGTAGGGCTCACACACAGAGAGCCACTGGGTCTCCGAGTCTGTGAATATGTGGTTCTGTGTTCTGTGTGTGGTGTGTGTGGTATGCGGTGTGTGTTTCTTTGTTTGTGTGCTTGGGTGTTTGGGTGTTTGTGTGTGAGAGAGAAGCACTTCATTTCTTGGCATTTCCTTTTGCCATTCAGCATTCGTACAGAGAGACAGAGAGACTGGCACACACATGGTCTTGTATTTTAGCCAGCTTCTAGGTTTTTATTATTATTATTGCTGTCTCGCATCCACAGGAGACGCACAGGGAAGTAGGCCTCGAGGGGGCGAGTTATTACATTAGCTGCAAGCTAGAGCTTAATAAATGAATTATGTGCAACCTTGGGAGATAAATAGATGTGTCTGCCTGTCATCCTGGCAGCCTTAGAGCCATACAGCCTAACTGCCCGACTGCCTGCCTGCCTGCCTGGTGTTTATAGGTTCATCGGAGAATAGCTTTACAATTAAAAGTTATCCTTGAATTAACTATTCCCTACGTCCCTGTGGTCCTAGCCCGCCTCCTCTCCCTTTCACACTCGTGTCGTCTGCCCGCCATTGTCCTGCTCCTCGTAGTCGGCATCTGCGTCTGCTGCTTCTTCGCCTTTGGCATTTTTCTTTTGCGCTCTCTCGCGCTCTGGCTCTCGGCCGCTCGTCCTCTCTGCCTTCTGGCACTCTCGCGCTTCTTCTTCGCCGCCATCTTCACCGTCTTACGGTGCTTCTTCTTCTTCTTGTTCTTCTCAAGCATCTCAGCCAGTTTAAGTGTCTCTGTGTGTGTGTGTGGGTCCTTTGTGTGTGTGTGTGTTACTTTTGCCGCTTCTGCTTCAGTGTTTATTTTGTGAACATTTCTAATGTGACTGGCCGAGTGTCATTTTGTTCTCTTCGTCCGCCATCCGCCCTACGCCCTCCGCCCTCCGCCATCCTGCCTTCTCTTTTCTCGGCCTCTCGCTATTTTCTCCTTAATCTCCCACTTTTGGCTCTGTGTGTGCTTGTGTCATTGCCATTAATTAAACACGTTTATGGCCGTAGCAGGCCCAAAAACAAAAACAAAAAGAGCGCAGGAAAAAAAATATAGCGGAGAAGAGGGGAAGACGAAATAAAAGCCCGGCAGCCAGGCAGCCACTTTGCACATTAAATTATCGATTATGACATTCATTCACAGCTCCGTACGAAAATAGCATCAACAGCAAAATCAGCAGCCAATCTGACTAAAAAGCTTCCTTTTTGGCCAAAACGCCACCCCCACCCCCGCATCGCCCACATCGGTTTTTAGCCCATCAAAGTCACAAACGACCAGCGGCAAGCAAACAAACAAGCCAAGAGGATGCTGGCTCACACGGCGTATGAACAACATGGACACCATGATGGGCGCACAGGGCGTATGGGCGATGTTGGCGGCGGCGTCGACCACTGCCCGTCAATGGGATATCCCTACGGGCCTGCAATGGCTCCACCACAATGGCGGCCAACTAAATATCGGTCATTAAAACTAAACAACTTGGAACTTTGACAATTTTTACGGCCATAAAGAGTTGAGCCACAAAAGCGAGATAAGGCAGTAACCCGCCAAGGAAATTTATTAAAAGTTACCAAGTCCTATTTATTTGGCCATAGGTATTTTATGCATCTCTGTACCCATGCACAATTTGGGGGGCTCTGCTGGGTGGGAATGGCAAATTAATATTCGACAAGCGACAAATGGCAAAATGTTAAGAGCAACAAAGCGAATGTTGCATTCCGGGCATTCCGAATCCGTTGCATGCAACGAACGCACAAATCGTCGACGATGTGGCAATTGAATTAAATTCGTTTTTGGCACGAGTATTGCCATTGATTAAAATGCAACCAACTGCCTGTGCTAACTCAATGAAAGCCGAAAGTTTTTCACAAAAATGCTCTGTCGTATAAATGAATAAAATCGTATTCAATATACACTGAATTATGTTTTGCTTCGTCCTTAAATCAAGTATTATTGAATATGAACCATTGGCGGGGGCTTTCCCCCCCGGATTCTGGGGCTGGGGAAAAATTCTGAGGCTTATGAAAATCATGGGAATCCATAGCCAGAATTCCTTAGCAACACCCATAATCACTCAATTTTCAGGACCCCCACGCCCCGACACAGAAAACGCCAACACAAAATAATATATATATATATATATATAAAAAAAGAATATCATTAAGGAATACGCACGATAAGAGGGCAAGAAAAAAAAAGGGAAAACTTTATTAATAATGAAGCTAATAGAGTTTTGAGGACCCATTGCCCAGCCTCCGTCTCAAAAATTCCGCCTCAAAAATAAGCAAAAGGAAATTACAGCCCCCCCTTCAGTCGTCCAGCCCTCCTCCCAACAAAAAAAAAAAAAAAGGAAAATAGAAAGAAAATTTGGTCAGTGGCTCAAGGAGCTGTAAAAATAACAAGGCGCAGACAAGAGGCGGCAGTGGCAAAAGGCCTAAAATCCGAGGGTGGCACAAAGACTGTCACACAGACACACATCTACCGCACACCCCGACCACCCACCCACCCATACACACACACACACACACACACACTAAAAACGATTGAGTAATTTTTTTTTTTTTTCCCTTAGCCACACAACTTCATTAGGATCAAAGTATGGGTCAGAAGGGGAGCTCATGGGCCACCAGGAGACTGAAGGACTGGGGTCTGAGGATTTGAATTGCGATTGGGACTCGGATTGGGATGAATCCTTGCGCGCTTTCTCTGTCTGCTCTCTGTTATATAAATAAAAATGCTCAAATGCTAAAGAACAGCTCTGAATGTGGCAATTAAATCCTGTTGGCATTAGTTTTGCGTAATTTGTCAACTAATTGGAGCACACACGCTCTTCTATGTGTGTTTGGTGTGTTAGTGTGTGTTGCGATGGAGCGGGGGGGAGGGGGCAAGTCATGTGGCAGTTGCCTTGACTTTATTCTGCAAATTGGATTAGCGCCGAGTCGGAAAAAAATAAAGCCAAGACTTTGCATAATTCCTCCACTTTGCACTCGAAATCACAAGTAAAAAAAATGTTGAAAAAAATAGAGGAAATAGAGGAAGATATGGCGGAATATATGGGCTTTAAATTTATGTCATAAATAACAGGAAATGGAAAGATTTTATTGTTTAAAATTTCACCCACGTTTGCAGCCACCTTTCATCATCGTTGTGGCTTCTTCCTTCTCCTCTTTTTTTTTGTTTGTTTGTTGTTACTATTTAGTTGTTTTTGTTGTTGTTGTTGTTGCTCCTGGTTTTCTGCTGATTATTATTATTATTATAATATTATTATATTTCTGTTCGCACTCGTGTTCAAACCGCACACAAACAAAATATCTCAAAAAAAGCAATTCATCGACGGTGACTATTTTTAATGATTTATTTTTTAAACTACAATACTATATACTGTGATTTTGAAATATTTCTCAGCTTCGCTGGGTCCGTTTCGATTTTGGTATAAAATTTTTAATTTCGATTTTAATTATTTTATTCAATTCTTTTTGGCACTTGAGCACTCTCCGTGTTTTTTTTTGTTAAAAAATGTTGCAATGTGTGGAAATCGAAACAACAACAACGAGCGAGCGAGCGGGGAGCGGGGTGTACCGTGGTTGTGTGTGTGTGTGTGTTAGTGTTAGTGTTAGTGTATGCGTGTGTGGCGGGACTGACTGACTGTCTGTCTGTCTACTGCTGGGAGGGACGGGACGAGAGAATCCTTGCTGGAGAATCCCCCTGGCTAGAATCCTGCTTGGGTTCAGTTCAGTTCGAGAGCAGACCACTCAGAGGGCGATGACGATGGGAGAGGAGCACACGATGGCTCCGCACCACATGACCGCACTACACGATTGACAGTTTGGCACTGAAGCTCGCCAGGACTCGCGGAAGCCCGAAAACCTAGATGCCGAGCCGTATCCGAGCGACCCGAAGTTCCAAAACCCCGTCGGACTGAACACACACACACATACATATATGATTTCCTTTTTCTTTTTTTTTTTGTCGAGGGAGCGTGTCGCTGCGACTGTTACAAAAAAATTTGTAGCCAAGCCCAAAGCAAGCACTGTCGCCTCTCCTCCTGTGTCGTCCTTGTGTCCCGCCCCGCCACTCCCACCGCTCACATGTTCATTGAAGAAAGCCCAGCAGCAGCAGCAGCAGCAGCATCTGAAGCCGAACCAAGCCGAACCGACAAAAAAATCACACAAAAACGGGAAACCGAGCTAAACCGAGAACCGAGTGCTCAACCAAACCAAGCCGAGTGCCAGGACCAAGCAGGAACCGAGACGAAAGCCCAGTTCTACGGCACAAAAAGCCCGCTGGGAAATGGAGCAATACCATCCGGGGATGCCAGCTAGATAAGCAAATAGAATTTAATCCTTGGAAAAGCATCGAATCGTTTAACAAAACGGGCTTTGTTTTGAATGTATTAATTTCAACTCATAAATTCGAAAATTATAGAAACAATAAATCCTCATAGAATACATATGTAATACAAAGGACTTGTACATTTTATAGAAGTACCAGGTTTTTGGTTATAATACTTTTAATTTTAAAACAAAAATCAATTTCGAAATTTCTCCATTGCTTATTAACTCTCGTTTTTAAAACGAAATAACTAAAAATAATCCTTAAGCTTTTAGAATATTTTTAAAAGGACCTTACATCTTAAAGCTGTTATAGTTTCCTTTTAGTATAAATATATAAGGCATTTAATATAAATAAAAAAAATATATATCATTAAAACAATGTTAAAACTCTTACTTTATTATGAACTATTTTTAGAGACACATTTGGATGCCATAGATGTTAGATTACCTCCCCCAAATAAGAAATTACTCAATTTGCCCATAAATGTATGCTACACTTTTTACTAAAAAGACAACACGCCAGGATCTTTTGTTATATTTTCCTAAAATCGACTAAGAATGAAATAAATAACATCATCTTATGGATTTGCACAAAAATATTGATAAATGTGTTGTATAGACAGTAATTTAATATATTTGTTTCATTTTAAAATATTTTTATAACAAAACAGTTTATGGTGGTTTCTAAAGGATCTTCTTTTTCATTAATATTTACCTTGAAGACTTTATTCTCAGGCCCTACCAAAAAGAAAATTATTTTTTATATACCTTTAATTTATTTTATGATTTCAAAATAGTCAAGTGAAGATGTTTTGGGTTTTCCGGACCTCCTGGCCTTCCTGTTTTGCAAATGTCAGGTCCCGTGGGCTGCCCAGCTCTTCCACCTGCATTGGATCCATTAAAGTTGCAGGAGACTGGCTCCCGGCTCCCGGCGCTGGGCTCCATTTGCCAGATGAAAGTTGTCCGGATTTCCAATTAAAACAATAAGAGAATAAGAGAATCATATCCGAGGACAGTGGCAAAGAAAAACTGAAGTGGTCGCTGCTCGGTCGCCGGTGGAATTGAATTGAATAAATATAAAAAAAAAATATTTGTCTGCCGCGGGCGCTGCGCATTTCCCAGCGGGGACAAAGCCAACAGAAGAAGACCCCTCAGCAGCTACAAGAAAAACAGAAACAGTGGCGAGCAGCAGTAGAGATAGCACCAGAAACTGAAGACACTGAGGAAAACGATTTAAAGTTGATTTTACAAGATCAATGTTAGTTCCAATTAAAAGGATTCTCTCCATATACGATTGAGTTTGGGGAAAATCTGTTATTGTTCTTATTCCAATGCTTTTTTTCAGTGTAGAGCCGAAGGAAGCGCCAAGTGCCATGTGCGGCGCTTTGTGTCTGTAAGTGTGCGTCCTTGCGGTGGGTGTTTGTCTCTCAGTATGTGTGCGAGGGTGTTGCGAGGGGGTTAAGGATGAGCGGCAGCAGCCAAAGGACGAAGGAGAAGAACAAGACGCAGAAGAAGAAGAAGAAGAAGAGGAGAAGAAAAAGAGGAGCACGAAGAGCAGAAACAGAAACAGCACAAACAGCAAATGTGATGAGCGCATGTGTTTTATCTTCAATCTCAGTTGAAATCATCTGGCCAGGACACCCATTGCCCCCACACAGCCCCCCACTATTCTGCCCGCCCCCTCTCCCTTCTCTCGGGCCAACAGTGGCGGCATTATGAAGGGCAATAGGTTGTGTGCGAATTTGTGCGAGTCGGGTCGGGATAATGTTCGGGTTCGGGTCGACAAACGCCTTCGGCTTTGACTTAGCTCTGACCAAGTCACTAAGCCAGTCAACCCCACTATCTGGCCCTGGCACTGGAGCACTCCTGCCCGCCATCCTGCCCCCCCATCATCTTTTAGTGAACGCCGCCCATGCGGCGTTTTCAGCGCTTTGGCTTTGTAACATCAAGAAATTTGTACTTCCGCCAGTGGAAGATTTTAATTAAAAGCAGCAGGAAATGTGACCCAAATAATACTTCCGTATAGTGTGAAAAATTGGACCGACTGGTGTCCCCCAGTCGGCAACACCCAACCACCGACACATTGGCTGCCTAATTTGTCGGAGGACCGCCTGCGGGGCGAACGTTTAGCTGCCGGCGGGCGGAGGAAATAAAGTTTAAGTGATTCCTAAGCCGGCGACCGGACTGACAACTGAGCGGAAAGCGTTTATCACTCGAGTGGAAAATGACACCGGCAAGGCTTTTCCACACACATACATGCCTGGTTCGTCGACATATTTGCCATCCCAGGATGCAGTTGGACAGACTCCTTTGAGGGAATTAATTAAACTCTTAATAATTCACTGGTATTATTAAAAGGGGCTAAAGGAGGTCCTTTGAAAAGTTGTCTTGACATGGCATGATCCTTCGGGATCACCTTGATGAAACTTGCAACTTCCGCTCAAGTTATTGGCCATCGGTTGCAGCTCAAAAATCAAGTCCATTACGTGGCGCTACTTGGTTATTCTTGGAGCGGATGGCATAAAATCAATAAGGTTACCTTGTCACAGCGTGTCCTTTGACTTCGCTCCGTGAGCTCTTGGCACGCAAGCAGCGTGAAAATGCAATCAATAGCAAATCGTTGTCAGCAATTAGCGTCCGGCCCAGCCCAGCCCAGAAACATCAACAGACACAGGCACAAGCACTGCCACTGCCACTGGCACTAGCACTGGCACACAGCAACTGTAAACCAAACCCATGTCCTAACCCAATTCCAATCCCGATACCAATCCCATGTCCTAGCCCTGCCTCTGCCCCTGCCCCCGGCCCTGCGGCGAATCAGGTGGCAAGTGGATTTTTAGCTGCAACACGTGAGGGATGTTCGATATGTTGGGTTATGGGAGGAGATGCAGGATGCAGGCAGTCGACTGAAGTGTGCCAAAAAGAATTTGCCACTAACGATGGCAGTGCAGTGCATCTGCAGCACTCTCGACCATATTTGCTCATCATTCTCGCTTGTTACCCTTTGCCTTCCACCCGCGTCCTCCGGCAGCCGGCTTGCATCCTCCAATCCTCCTCAAAATCTATTCATAGACGGCTCTGCGGCTCTCTCGATTGCCAGCAAAATGGCAAACAAATCGTTGCAAATATTCCCCCAACGTGGCGTATGCGCAATTTTCGTCCAAAGTAAGTGCTTCAAAAAAAAAAAAAGGAAAATCAAGAGGGAAGCAGCATTCTCCGCCATATATGTATGTATCCTCTACACACTCATGCACACCCACATCCACACACATATAGGTATATATGTATATGTTCGCAAATATTTGACGGGTGAGGTACGTGGGTGCGAGTGTGGACAGAACCATTTGCTGTTGTTGATTCAATTCAACATTTGCCGAATGAAATTTTCATCTTGCGATGACAAAACGTCTCGACGGCCATCATCGCACTTATGGGAATATCAATCAGGCGTGTTGTATCCGAAAATCCGAAATCGGAAATCAAAACGAGTCTTCCTCGAATATGTAGGCCACTCAGTCGTTGCTTTGCTTTTCCCAGGACGGCACTCAGGACACTAAACAGGAGGATCAATTATGGTGCCGGATTGAGGCAAGGCGTTAGGCAAGTTATATAATACAGTGTGTTCCCGTTAATAAAACTTTGATAACTCCATTACATCTATAAGTATTTTTATTTATTTTTGAATTTATCCATAAATTTTCGCATAAATTTCAAAATACACATCGATAGGATCAGATCAGTATCCACTTGCTTGTTAATAAATATAAATTTTAAATAACATAACTTTTGATTTGCAAGCAATTGTAAAACGAAACCGGAAACGGAAATGAAAAGAATGATTCTAGGAAACGGGAATACTTAAGTGAATCAATATTTTATATGTGGTCTTCATATACATAGATAATATATAACAATTACAATTACAAAAAAACACGACACGACATTTCATGTGAGTGTGAAACATGGAGGGGGTGGGGGGGGGTTATGCGGGGGTCAAAGGAGTGAGCGGAGGGGGCGTGACCCGCAGGGGGCGGAGACAGAGCGGACAGGGACATGAGCACAGCTGGGATGAAAAATGAATTTCGTCTCTGTCTTGTTGCTTCGACAAAGAATAAAGTTGTATAATGTAAGCGTTAAATATATTATTAATATTATGTTTATATAAGATCGTTTATATATATATATATATATGTGTGTTTGTGTGTGTGTCTCGCTTGTAAAGGGTTGTGATGGGAGGGGTGGGTATTTGTTTAATCGTTTCAATGACTTATAGAACTAGAAAACATCATCAGCTGTAGCTTTAAGTCCTCTTCGCTTCGTACTATCAAGGGCCTATAATTTCTGGGTAATTTTCATAAGGGAATTATTTTGCGGTACATATGGATGGACGTACCTTCGAAGCTAATGCTCGGCTATGCTTGAATTAGTTGGAAATTGATTAATCTACTGCACACCGGCCTTTCCTTAAACTGCTGCAGCTGTGTGTCAAAGGCATCGGGGCCGCTAAGTTCTCACATCGCTCGGCTTTACTATATCTTTGTTTAACTTCTAGTTTTAGTTTCATTTTTGTTGTTTGTTTCCTCCTTACTTCTTTATAAATATTCTTTATGCATTGTGTTTTTGTGTTATCATTACAGAGTAATTATTTGTAATAAAGACGACGGCATTCTAGGAATTGTTTATGCACAAAAGCAAATAGTTTAATTAGTTCAATGCTCCAATGCTTGCTTTAGTATCGCTTCTATTTTTGTTGTTTTTGTTTGTATTTTTGTCTTTTTGTTTTCTTTTTTTTTTCGGACTTCCCTTGGACTTCTCGTTCCCTCATTGTCCATCTACTTCTCGCTCTTGCATCTCTTTCGGTTTCGGGATGATTGGTTGGTTCGACTACCTCGTTTGATTATTTGATCGGACAGATAGAATTGTGGTCAGATCGCTGGATCAAGGCTGAGGGACCTACTTAGTATCTGCTATTATTGAACTGCGAGTTGATGGCCGAGTTGACGGCCGAGGAGGCCGCCTCCTGGACATGCTGGTTTCGCAGAAACTCCGTGGTGAACTCGGCCTGTGCCTTGGCCATGCTTGCCCCAGTGCTGCGATAGATCGTATGGATCTTAGTGATCATCAGCACATTGGCCACGGCCACGGCCGTAAAGCAGAAGGCCACGTTCAGCAGTAGGATGCCCACAATGATGCCCGCCGCCTCGCCATCGAACTGCGAGATGGCCGTAATGAAGCCGCAGTATCCCATCTTTTGGAAGCCCACTGCTTGGACGACCGAGTAGAGCGTTTGGAAGAAATAGATGAAGAAGAAGACCATAAAGTTGAAGCTCGAGTCGTTCCGGAATGCCTTGTACGCCGGTCGGAACCTGTCGAATGATTACATTTCAAGAATCCGATCAAATAAACAGTAATTGAATGCCTCGAACTCACCAGCAGACATACGAGGCGGGCGAGAAGAGCAGCGTGTAGAAAATTGCCAAGAAGAAGGTCCCGATTTCTCCAGCATGGAACATCAAAATGAGACCGCCGATCACATTCGCCAACAGCGTCATGGTGTAAACTATAGGGGGAGAAAATGAAACCATACTGATTACTTGGAACATGCAAGAATGCGGAATGCGTCTAAAATAACAAACAGTGTTTATGTTTAGGCAAGAATTCGCAGTAAAAATGTTGAATGTTGATATCAGAAAGCTGAGCTACCATTAAAATAGATGGCGTTAAAAGGCATACGCTTTTCACTAAACGAAAAGTGGAAACGCTGAAAACAGTGCCCATTTTCGGTGGGCAAACAGCCACAAACAGCTATACACACATCTGATTAATCATTTCGTTTGTTTTTCTGCGCTGCACGCTATGACTAATCCCCCTTCGGAGGGCGCTTATCACCTGGAGCCATGGAACCCATAAAGCCGTAAACGCGAAATGGCGATACTCACAGATCCAAATGTAGTACAATCGCTTGACCAGTTTCTGGAACTCTGGCGGTATTTCCACCTCGAAATCCTGGTAGAAGCAGGGCTTCACGCAAAAGTTATCCGGCAGCGGAGGCCAATTGTTCAGCTGCGGCACATTTCCTTGGAGCTGCTGTTCGCGACGATCCAGCTCGGCGGCCTTCCTATCCAGTTCCTCCTGCCGACGCTAAAGATGAAGAGAATATTTCATCATTACATATTTTTTCAAACAAATACAATGGGAGAAGCATAAGCAATGCAAACCACAGATGGTACAGTGAACCCCCGCCAACCAAGACTATTCTTATCAATGTTAGATAAATGCTTGAAGCTAATTCTCCATGGACAGACGGAGATAAGGCAACTAAATAATCACTTTCGGAGATTTGGACCACATTTTGAGAGACTTAAAGTACTAAATAGGTTAAGGAAAAACGGTGTATAGACGACTAAGTGTATTGCAATCTTCGTTCAACTACGATGACGATTCACTGTACACGCTAGCTGTGGGTAATGCGAGCTGCCCTGAATTTCAGCCGGTTTCCCTCGATTTTCTTTTGGTTTCACCGGTTTGGTGGTTACCTGCAGCTCCTCGGAGGTTATCTGTATGCTAGTGCTTGGCGCCGAAGCGCCCAGCGAACTGGTCTGCGGGGGCGGAACGTTCTGAGACAGCGGCTGCACTACCGCCGCCGTGTTCGTTGAGTTGATTTGCAACTGCGGCTTAGCCTGCTCCTCGAACGGATTGTAGTCTTCCAGAGAGACGACTGCTCCGCCGGCCAGACGCTGTGCCTGCTGGATAGCTGGATCCTGTAGAAAAGTATACGCGTAGAAAAATGCATTAGAGGGGCGACAATGGCAGAAGGAAACCCAATCGCAGCGAAATCAGTCAGCATATGTGACGATGTCGTCGTTGCACCCACTTACCAGCACACACACACACACACAAATGCACGCCCACTCTGGCCTGTGTGTGTGAGCTGGGCTTTTTCACAAGCTCCCTGCTTACCGCAAAAGGATTCTCCCAATTGGGCTCCCCGAAGGGATTATCGTCGAGTCCGGAGCCAGACATGATGTGGTCTAGCAAGTGATTGCTTCTGCTGGATAAATCTTCAGCTGTGGCCAGAGAAAACGCTTCCGATTCGCACTTTTTGCTGTGTATATTTTCCTGCTCAGAGCTGTGTCATCTAGAGATGGCCTATCGAAGGCGGCTATCGACTATCGCTGGTCATTAGGGATGGGCAATCAGATGTGACGTGTACCGGCTATCGGCGATATTTCTATCGTATAGGGTTCTAATTGGCGCCCAATAAGAATTTAAATAGCTTAAACTTCAAGTTCAATATTAATTCCGCTTAGTTAACATACGACATTAAATTATTATTTCGTATTTAAATTAAATAAATAGAAGTTTTAGTTTTCCTCTTTAAACTCTATTCCACCACAGTGGTGAATTTGAAGGTGCTTCAACGGTGGGTTTCATCCCTGGTGCCGCCAAACCGATTACATGCGGACTGTTTTGAGTTTTGTGTTTTCATTAACTGCTGCCCGCCTCTCTGATTCGGTTGTGCGAACCTCTCTGATCTTCCGATTTACCCAATAGTATCCTTGCTACCATGTCGAAGCCTGCCTACAAAGTCGGTGAGTTATAAATAAGTCAGAGGGTCCCTAAATCTCCGACCGCAACAGGCGGCAAACTCATATGGGTTCATGTGTGTGATTGTGCGTCCCCATGTGCACATGTTTCTGAGGTTAAATATGAGCAAAGTAAACCGGCGCCGCAGCACGTTGTTGCCAGGCTGCAGTGCCAAATAATATAAATTACAATGGGCCTCTTATCAACCCCTATCTCTCCCTTTACTATTTTGCAGCCGATATCAGTCTGGCGGAATGGGGACGCAAGGCGATCATCATTGCGGAGAACGAGATGCCCGGTTTGATGGCCTGCCGTAAGAAGTACGGCCCAGCAAAGATCCTCAAGGGAGCACGCATCACCGGCTGCCTGCACATGACCGTCCAGACGGCAGTGCTCATCGAGACTCTGGTGGAGCTTGGCGCTGAGGTGGGCTCACTTTCTAGCCTAGGATACTCTTAAGACCATTATCATCAAAAGCTAGTTGGGCAGTTTTCGCAACTCCAAACTATTGGGCGACCTGTCCCTTATCTTTTGTTTACGGATCAATTTGAATAACAAAACTTTCGTTTCGGCAGTGGGGGGCAAGTTCAAGGCATCACAGATAAGACACCTCCGGATGGCTATTTCCTCTGACGCAGCGGCTTTTATTATTCATTTTTTGGTCCTCACACTTGGCAACAACTTTATGCAAGAAACTGAAAGTTGGCTCTAAAAGCAATCCCTTTTTTTCTGTCCTTCAGGTCCAATGGTCCAGCTGCAACATTTTCAGCACACAGGATCACGCGGCAGCGGCTATCGCAGCCACCGGAGTGCCTGTCTATGCCTGGAAGGGAGAGACAGACGAGGAGTACCTGTGGTGCATTGAGCAGACCCTGGTCTTCCCCGACGGCCAGCCCCTGAACATGATTCTGGACGATGGCGGTGACCTGACCAATCTCGTCCATGAAAAGTTCCCCCAGTACCTGAAGAACATCAAGGGCCTGAGCGAGGAGACCACCACCGGAGTCCACAACTTGTACAAGATGTTCAAGGATGGACGTCTGGGCATCCCGGCGATCAACGTTAACGATTCGGTGACCAAGAGCAAGTTCGACAACCTTTACGGTTGCCGGGAGTCCCTGATCGATGGCATCAAGCGAGCCACTGATGTGATGATCGCCGGTAAGGTGTGCTGCGTCGCCGGATACGGTGATGTGGGCAAGGGCTGTGCCCAGGCTCTGAAGGGATTCGGAGGACGTGTGATCATCACTGAGATCGATCCTATCAACGCCCTCCAGGCAGCCATGGAAGGCTATGAGGTGACCACCATGGAGGAGGCTAGCAAAGAGGCCTCCATTTTTGTGACCACCACCGGCTGCCGGGACATCATCACCGGCCAGCACCTGCTCCAGATGCCGGACGACGCCATTGTCTGCAACATCGGCCACTTCGACATCGAGATCGACGTCGACTGGTTGAACGCCAACGCCAAAGAGAAGGTGAACGTGAAGCCCCAGGTGGACCGCTACACGATGGCCAACGGCAAGCACATTATCCTGCTGGCCGAGGGACGACTGGTTAACCTGGGCTGTGCCCACGGCCATCCCAGCTTCGTGATGTCCAACTCCTTCACCAACCAGGTCCTGGCCCAGATCGAGCTCTGGACCAAGTCCTCTCAGTACGCTGTCGGCGTGCACGTTCTGCCCAAGATCCTCGACGAGGAGGTCGCCAGCCTGCATTTGGAGAAGCTCGGAGTGAAGCTCACCAAGCTCACCGACAAGCAGGCCAGCTATCTTGGTGTCTCCCAGACCGGCCCCTTCAAGCCCGACCACTACCGGTACTGAGCACCAGGTCCGATCCTAATCGCGGCATCAAATCCCATAGTTATACACCTCCTACTGTTTCCACACTTCACTGTTCGTTTAAGCTCAAATAAAAACCCATCTCACGTACTCTCAGCGAGAGAAAACCAACACAATTGCTACTTTCTCTAGGTCGGACCGGGTATACCCACTTTGTCATGGATCCGAGCAAAGTATTGTTACCATGGGTCGTGTATGGGGGGCTACAATGTTCTGGAACAAACAAGTTCAAGGACCAACATGATTTCCAAAACAGCATCCAGCACGTGTGACTATTTTGAAGTTGAATCGAAAAATATAACTTGCCTCGGCCGGAATGACTCAACAACAAGTAGTGGCCAGAAATATCTCTAAAGCGAAGCGTCTTCCTGATAAGATTCTCTTTCAGAACTCGACTCTCGCCTGAGATGCAGTGACTCGGCTGTTTAGGGCCACTCACGCACATCTGTGGCTCTTATCGCGCCCTCGGGGTCTCCAAGAGGTAGGGTATCAGAGGTGGGAGGTGATCCAACCCTGCCGGCGGCAGATTCAGTCGATCGCTCGCTGGCCGGTTTCTAGTGTGAACGGCGCTCTGTCTCTCTCCCCCATACGACACCAGATGGTGTTGTGGCTATAGCCACCTCGCTCAGGCCTGCAATTGCAGCTGGTAAAGTCTATTACTTTCGATCCCGCATTTGCGTTTTACTCAGTTTCCTAACTGGTGAGGTGTAGGAGAGTATATCACGACGGAGCTGCGAGTATTCCGGCTAGATATTTCATCACACGCACTCACCACTCATCCAAACCAGAGATGGAAATGGTATTTCTTTGGCTGCTGCTCGGGTTCTCACCCACTTTTGCCTGGATGGCGCACTTCAGGCCCTCCAGCCTGAATCTAACCATGGATAGGGGTGTGGAGGTACAGCTGTCGCTGGAAAATCTGGCACCTTCTACGCTTCAGCAGCCGGAGCGCTACAGCTTTCAGGTGGAGAGCCAAGATCCGAATCTGGCCAGCATTCCCAAAGACAACTCCAGCATTTTGCTGAAGCTCTTCAGCGTGGAAACCCGCGACTGGAGCGGCCACATCCACGTGGATGGCGTATTCCTGGGCCAAACCAAGATCAGTGTCCGGTTGATCGACCACACTCTCAACAAAAGCGAGCTCCCGACCCAATGGAGCAATGACAGCCAGCTGGAGGTGAAGGTTCTGCGTCCCGTCCGGGTCATCGACCACATCTTTCTGGGCTCCATTATCCTCCTGATGTCGCTGCTGTACATAAACTTTGGAGCCGCCCTCAATCTGGAGGTCCTCAGGGGGCTCATTACTCTGCCCACTGGTCCCTGCATCGGATTCGTGATGCAGGTCATCGCAATGCCCCTGCTGAGCTACGCCCTCGGCGTTTTCATCTTCCCCAACGCCCCGGCCATGCAGCTGGGCCTCTTCTTCACCGGCATCTCGCCCAGCGGCGGAGCGTCGAACACGTGGAGCGCGGTGCTGGGCGGAAATATACACCTCTCGGTGCTAATGACGACGGTGAGCAATGTGGCGGCCTTCGCCACCATGCCCCTCTGGATCCTAACCCTCGGCCAGTTGATCTTCGATCGCGCTGAGATTCCAACACCCTACTCCAAGATTGGCACCTACTGCGGCGCCCTCATCGTGCCCCTGCTGGTGGGGGTGCTCATCCAGAAGCGATCCGCGAAGGTCACCCGGGTGCTGGTCCGTCTGCTGAAGCCCATCTCCGCGTGCGTGATCCTGTTCATCATCGTGTTTGCGGTGATCACTAACTTCTACATCTTCTACTTGTTCTCGTGGCAGGTGAGCTTAACCGATAGTTGACCCAAATCTTCTCCTTGACTTGTGTGCCTCCATAGATCGTCTTGGCTGGCATGGCGCTGCCCGGGCTCGGCTACATCTTTGCCTGGCTGGCGGCCAAACTGCTGCACCAGAACTCCGCCGACGCCCTGACCATAGCCATTGAAACGGGCATCCAGAACACTGGAATCGCAATCTTCCTGCTGACCACCACGCTGCCGCGACCGGAGGCAGATCTCACCACAGTGGTGCCCGTTTCCGTGGCTATAATGACGCCGCTGCCTCTGCTGGGTATCTATCTCTACAAGCGACTGTGCCTGAGAAATCGAACTGACGCAGCCACCCCGCAATCGGAAAGAATTGTTTGAGACGGAGCATGCTCTTCCGGATCTCCAGGAAGCCCAATATTGTATTTTAATTAGGTACCTACCGTTAAATTATTCATAAGGAGGTGTTTGGCATTGGATGAAGTACTTCGATCCAGTTCCAAGCTCCCTGCATCTTTTTTGGATTGTTATACCAATAAAATATTGCGAATTATGTAATGCCCTTCCAATCACTTTTGACCAACTATCAATTTTATTGAATCCATGACATATTTGCAGCATAATTGCAAACCAAAAATATGGAAGTTATCCTTCCTTTACATAATTTCCTTCAAGCAAACTTAATACTTAATTCTCACTTAGGATTAATGGGCGCCGGATGGGCTGTAACTCCTTCCAGTCCTCCGATAACTTTTAGGCGCAGGTGCATGACATACTTTGACGAATCCGAAATGATTAGACCAGGACCTCTGAGGTGCAAACAAGTATCTAAAAAAATAACACGATTGAAACGATCGGCTTACACAAATAAGGATGTATATATGTACTGTATATATTATGGGCCAAGAGCTCATTGCGTGGCCATGGAAAAGGCCAAAACAGATGCCTCATCGAGGGTCACAATCTCTGGGGTGCAGGCGAGGGCCTGCAGAATCCTTAACAAGCCGAAGATTGTGTGCGCCCCGAGATTCAATTGCCGGAACTCGTACAGCAGACGCAGGTGGGTCACCGTTCCGGTGCTCAGATCGACTCCACTTAGCATATTCGGCATCAGGTTGTAGTAGTTGATCACGCAGAATACCCGCTGCAAGTCGGGTCCGCTGACAGTGGTTATGTAGCTCGGATCCAGCCTCTTCCGGCTCAGGAACTCCCGCAGTGGAATACACAGCTCCCGCGTGGAGCTCTCCATTTGCAGCTTGAATAGCTCCTGCATCATCTGGATCAGTTCCACCGAAATGAGCGGATGCTCCGACTCCTTACTCCGACTTAGATACGCGTCGATCAGTTTCAGCTGCCACACATCGTTGTTCGTCACCATGGATTTGGTTACGTGCTGCAGGAATACATCAATAATTAATTTTAAAGATCGACTTGTCACTTGGCAGCTTACATCATAGAGTGTTAGGTAGACGGGCAGCAAATGCATCCGATCCTTAACCACCGCGTTGTAAAAGAGAAGCATCATCTGGTGGCGCTTGACCAGCTCCGGATAGCTCAGATCCGTACCCTTAGTTTCGAGGCACCGGCTCAAGAACGACTTGACCATGCGCTCGCTGCTGAACTGCTGCAGGTCGTTCATGTCTATCTGCCAGCAAATGCTCTGTTCCATCGTCAGGGTTTGTGCCAGCATGCTCTTCAATCTGTCCGGATCTTCGAGATGTGATAGGCAGCCCGTTCGCTTTTTGATATCGATTGGGGCGTTCATCTCCAGAGCCTTCTCTAGCTGGTGCCAGTTTCGGGACCGCTCGAAGGACACAGGCCAGTAGTTTTCATCGTCCACGATCACCTTCTGCAGGCTGCTCAGCTCCGGCAAGATGCAAGGGGCTATGGGCAGGCGCCTCAGCTCGGTGGCTCCCACTTCCAGGACCGAGATGTTGGCCAGACACAGTTGATTTGTGTCGATGTCGCGCGGCAGAAACAGTCTCGGCTCTACTGCCAGGACATACAGATGCCTTAAAGCCTGCAGATGGTACCTATTCGGAAAGTATATAGTTCGAGGGTTATATATTGCTGTTCATACCAGATCTTACCGATTATCGTTGCTGTGTATGGGAAACTTGGGGAAGAAGGCACAGACCAAGGCCGCAACGGACTCTGGTGTCTGGGAGATGGTGAATCTACCCGCACCCAGAAAGAGTAGTCCCAGCGACATGTGGATGGCCATGTGCGAGCCATATGTAATGTGCGGATACTGCGGACCCACTCGCGATCTCAGGTACCGTATGATCCTCAGAATTTCACAGTTACCCGAGCCGGCAAACACCAGCGAAATCGAGATGAGGAGCACCATCAGACAGCTCTCCACGGTGGTGCGCCCAGCACATTCGCCCATGGGCGAGCCGGGGAAACTCAGAAACTCCTTGATCACCGCCCGCAAGGTGGCGAAGGCGTCCATGTTCTCGGTGCCGGCGTACTTGAGGCCAATGCAAAAGGCGGCTCCCGCCATAATGTTGCAGTAGGCTTGCCTGTTGGGATGCGGAATTGAATAAAGAAATAACCGAAGGAATAAAGTTCTTACGTGATGGCTTCGTAGTCTACGTCGCCGTCTTCGGAGGTGGACTCTTCGTCGCGCGAGGGGATCCTTAGATGCACACGAAGTGTAGAGGGAAACTGAGCCTGAAACCAGTTGTTATCCGGCCGGACATCCTGCCACAGGATGAGGCCCCGAGAAATCGTCCGCAACAGCAGAAAATCTGGACGCACCATGTCCAGGAGGTAGCGGGAGTCCGGAGGCTGCATCCACTCGGCAATCGCCGCATTGCCGGAATTGAAAAACATCAATCCTAGGGCCAGAGTGGCGCCCGGCGCGGTGACATCGATGTTTACGTTGTCGCCTTCGCGGACCTGGAACGAGGCCAGCCGGTATTTCTCCTTTTGGGAGCCGCTGATGGGCCTCTTCACGCCACCAACCATGTAGTAGTGAAGGGTATCCGGAAGCTGAAGATCTCTCAGACCCGCCGGCGACTCCCCCTGCCCGAGGGTTACTAGTCCCAACGACAAACCGGCAGTCATCGCGTAAGATTCGCGCTCCACACTGTTTTCCATCTCCGGACCGGGTGGTCGTCCGATCTCCTGTAGAAGGACCTCTGCAATGTGCCGTTTAGCGGATCCCTGGTAGAGCAAGCCGATGCCCATCAAAGCGGCTACCTGGGTGCTCTGCGGTATGTCCAGCTCCATGGCGGTGGCAGGCAGAAGGGCTTCCAGATGGACACTCAGCAGCTTGGTGGTCTTCGTGTCCATGCTGCCACGGTGGGCAGCCGAAATGCCCAGCAGCAGGCCCAGATTGGTCATCTCGTCGCACTTGACCAAGTACTTGTAAATGCTCGTGAACGACAGAGTCTTCAGTTGACCATTCAGACCCAATGCCATGAGGAACCCGGCGTGCTCCAGGGCATTGTTCGCTTGGGCCTTGGGCTTGTTGTAGACAATCCAAGTGGAATCAATGTCCTTGGCCTGCGGAGAGATCTTCAAGCCAGTGGCGACCCCGTTGTGAAAGGAGGGCCACATGTGCATGTTGGCCGGGAACTCGATCTGCTGCATCTCGATGGTGGTGCCCTTCTGTGGCTCCCTGCCCACCAAACAGAGCTTGGGCATCGTCAAGCTGTCGCTGGGCCGAGGCAGCACAGTCCTCAGCGTGAACATACCCCGGCCGAGGGGCAGCGTCATTGTTCTGGCGCACAGGGCGAACAGTTGCTTCTCCTGCTCCTCGATGAACTCGTGGTCGCTCGTTCCCGGCGATTGCTGGACCTCGATAAGTACGGGCTCCGAAGAGTTGAGCAGCCGACGCACTTCCTCCACCCGCATATCGTCGGGAAAGCGGAGTCTCAGCAGCTTAGTGTCCATATTGTCCATGTCGTCGTGCCGCTGTTGCTCAGATTCGTTGTCCACCATGGTTCCTCCAGCAGGGGGGCACCTCGCCGACAGCGAGTCCTCCTTGTAAACCCGACCGCAGTGCGGCTGGCCAATGCTCGTCTCCATGAACGGCAGCTGGGCATGCTCGGCCAGCTCGGGCCGCAGGATCAGCTCGTACGTCGGCATACTGCAGCCGACGGGTGGCGAAAGCCTAGCCTCCTCCAGGGCCTCAGCGACAATTAGATGGACTGCAGCTGGGAACCGATCGATGTCTCGTCGTGACAGCCGCATAGCCAGGATCAGCTCGAGCAACTGGTGACACCTTGGAGTGTCCGCCGTAATGCTCCGCTTCGTTCTTCTCGGGTAGTTGGACTGCACGGCTTCGGGGATCTCCAAGAGCTGCCACCAGTGCTTGAGCCTCTCCTGGCCGTGGACCACCAGCGATATGAGCTGCAAAAGATTTCGGCTTCTTTCGTTGACGTTCTCCATATAGCTGTAGGGTATCACCTCCTCAAACCCCACTATGATGTGCTCTAGTTGGGCAAAGACACATGGTGCCGGCACCCTTAAGAGCTCCTGGTGAATCATCATGGCCCCGTGGTCCGGTCCCAAGAGGGCCATCTTCCCAGTGCGATGGCTCAGCTCTGGAAAGTCCAGTATGTAGTGCAGGATATAAGTCTCCAGCTGCATGTCGACGGCTAGCTGGTGTAGGAACTGCAATCGAGAGATTAGGAGTAGAGATCTCGCCAATCTTCAAAGTACTCACGGTGGACAAATAGGGAAGTGCCGCATTGAACACTGCGTCCAGCTTGAGGTCCTCGTACAGCAGATGCAGGCTGTAAAAGATGGCGGGTATGACCTGGAACAGGGGCGCTCCAACGTCCACGCTGTAGCTGTGGCTATCCGATCCGCAAGGAGCCAGAGTCGTTTGCAGCAGCAGGAATTCCCAGTCGTCGTCTGTGAAGTCTTCGCAATCGTTATATTTCCGCCGCTTCTTTGGCTCGTCTAGCGCGCCGAGAGTGGACGTAGAACTGCAATTCGAACCAGAACCCGACTCCAGAGTAATGAGTTCGCCAGCGAGATTGGTTTGCAGCAGAGGAGTGGCGCATCTCTCATAGTTCTCTACCGTTTCCACATCCGCCGCCGCTGTCAGGCCCATTAACGAAAGCAACGTGACCCGGAACAGCTGCCACTCCTGCTCGATGGAGTAGTCCCTCGAGCCCGGTGGGTTCCTGGCGCTGTACCAACGTATCACAAAGTGCAGAAACTGGTCGGGACTCAGGACCTGCCGCAAAGTGGCCACACAACGCGTCAGCAAACGGGTATCGTTCAATAATGGAAGAGCTATCCTAAGCATCCTGCCGGTAGCATACACCAAGGTTAGCCTGTTCCCCGCAGGATCCCTTAGCGATTTGCATATATTGTGAGCCTGTCGCTGTGTAAAGGAAGCAGACTGCGGCGGGATGGGGGACAGCATGTGCAGCTCCTTATCGAAAGCGGCCAGGTCCGCAGCCGCTTTTGTGGGCAGCAGACTACTCCTACGTACTTCTACAAAGGAGTTGCTGCTCGAAGAGGCTACCACTGTGGCTACAGGCGTTTTCAACTGCGCCGGAGTGGGAGCCGGAGATGGGGCGGGTACTGGCGATGGCGTGGGAATGGCTGTGGGCGCCATCAAGGGCGTTATGTGCACTTTGGAAATTAGAACTGTGCCCGTGTAGAGAATCAAACTTCCGCTCGGATCCAGGACCGCGATCATGTGCAGGCGATTTAGACCTACTGCGTCCTTGGCCGGCAATGTGGAGGCAAGTGTGGAGATCTGTACCTCGCTACTTCCGTAGCCGGTCAAGCGAACCAGCTGCAGGCGACATGAGCGGGCCAGGAGATAGCACAGAAAGGTCTGACCCACGAGGTCCGTGTGGATGAACGCGCGAGAGGCCATCTCGCAGAATTCACGCTGCCTGAAAGAGATTCGGGTTAGCAAGCTACAACATCCGAATCTTAAATACTATTTATCTTACGTTCCGTAAGTGTTTTCTGTCCAGATGTGCTCCAGACACATCTCCGGCTCGATGGGTTTAGCTGGCTTCACGTGCGTCATCTTGCGCATGTCCTTCACGGACACCGACTGCTGGCTGAAGCTACTCTGGAGCTGGCTCAGCGGCGTTCCCAACGAAGCGCGACTGTGAATAATATTTTAGATTGTAACAATGCAATTATTATGCTCTGGCTCCTAACCTACTTGGACTGGCCGAGAATCCCACTGAAAGACTGCGACTGGCTGAGACCAAACCTAGACGCAGTCGTCAAGCCAGTGGTGGTATTGTTCCTGCTGATGAAGGACGCATTCTGGACCTTTGAAGTAGCTCCCGTCTGCTTTGTGGAATTGAAGCTATTTGCCCCAGCTGGCGTCACGCGAGGACCTAGAAGGGTTTGACCCAATTCCTGCTGCTGCTGGCTCACATAGTTAACCTCTTCGGGCGTGACCTTCCGCAGCCTAGCCACGAAGTGTTTAAAGAACTTGGCATCGTACAACAGAACTAAATCGGAGTCCTCCGTAGTAAAGACCACACTGTATTCCGGCTCGGTCATGTAGCCTGTGGAATTAGTAGCAGCTTTTAGAACCACAGGACAAGCTTCGTGCAGAGGATGCGACATGGAGAACAACCTCGGCATCGGAATGGACAAATGGGATATCAGAGCATTGCTGGAATCCTTTTCCAAAAGCAGACCATGTATCGTTTGCCACACCTGTGAAACTGGAAAGTCCAAATTGGCTAGGAAATCCTCGCCATCGTCGCAGTACACCCTTAACGCATTCTGGTCCATAACACAGATGGCAGTTAATTGGTCATCCTCGGACTGAAGAGCGGCTTTTAATTGCGCCAAGCGTCCCCGCACAAAGGTTCTGTTGAGAAAGCAAGCGAATCTAACAGGTGAATCGCAGGTAAAGCACATTCTTTTGAATACCCCGTCATCGTCATCGTCAAGGCCTATGTTGAATAAAAAAAACATTTAAGTTTCTTGCTTCTGTATCTATTTTTTGCACACAAACCCTGCGTCCAAACAACTGTGTTCCGGTTGACGTATAGCTCCTCCTCGTTGTTAACTATATAGTCGCACATGGGTTCCTCCCGTCGCTCCGGCGCCGGATGCAACAGGCTTTGGGGTAACGAAGTGAGCTGAGTAGCCGCCGCCGCGGTGGGACCGCAACGCTTCGTCCGCTCAATAAGCTGCCTCCGCCGCGCGGCCCGCTCCTCAGCGGCTTCGTAGTCATCGTACAGCTCTCGAATTGTCCAGAACTCCTGGCCCGTGGCCGAGTCCTCGCCAGCCGAAGAAATATTTACATTTTGCAGGCGCTGCAGCAGCAGGTGTTCCGTAGTGGGAATGCCGCTTCGGGGCAGGGGCTGGTCATGGGGGCCAGGATGCTCGGCAGCCGACTGACGGCCGCGAGGTACAAACTCCAGCGGCGGTTCTGCGACGGCGATCATCTCCGCCTCGGAAAATGCATCCAGCGTAGCGATCTCACTCCAAATTGGCCAGAAAAGCGCGCTCCGACGCCGGTCGAAAGCAAGTTTAGTGTGGCCAAGCCACCCCACAAAAATATCTTCAGGGGGGTGTAGTTTTTCCAATAAGAATAATGTTATGATCATAAAATGAACCCAACATTTTTATTCAATGAAAAGATTATGAAATAATTATATTTTTCATTTTTCTGCATTAATAATTCGTTGTAAGTCTCTTTTATATATTCGATAGCTTCGATAACGCAATCGATTCGTCTCTAACCAAAATGGAGCTGCCAACGCCTTCAAATTGAACAGAGTCGACAGCCCTGGAGCTATCGGTCCTATAAGTAAGTTGAAAACAATACTAATTTAGTAATTGCTGGACGAAATTGTAAGAAAATAGCATTCAAGACACAAAGCACCGCTTTTCCCAGAGACGGAGTAAGGCGACTTCACCTGGCAGACACCATTAACTTCACCAGACACCCGCATCAAGCATTTTCATTACGTAACTGCATGCAGCATAGAATCTCCCACTTGCCGTCTATACCCACATCGATTGTGTTGTTCTGTTTCTGTTATCCATTCCAGACCTATGGGCAGTAGCATTGTGGTGCAATTGGCTCGAAAGTACGGCGCAGTGATATTCTTTCCCACTGTTGCAGTCGGCTCGATTTACGCAGATTGGTCGCACACCCGTGAGTGGAAACTCCAGCAGCAACAGTTGAAGCGCAGTGCTCATCTGAAGGAACAAAGCTAGACGAGATCGGGAATCATGGTTCTGGGTCTGGACAAACGTTACTTGTGGAGCGCCCTGCCGCTGTTGGGATTCGCCATCGGACACTTCCTGGACAAGAAGGAAACGGAACGTATGACCATGTTCCGTGACAAAAGTGCTCTGTACGGACGTTCAGGAGGCAGCGATAAGGAGCCGTCATGGTAATCCTTCGTGCTATCATCTCCTCCAGTCTTAGCGTAATCCCATGTTTTTTTTTCGCTGTTAAACAATAAACCGTAAAATGGCCTGGTGAATGTGAGTGCGTCCATTGTAATCTCGTGTCCGTATTTACCTGCCGAGAAAATCTGCGGTTGCGGGGGCGAAACGTGATTTATTTGTGAAGGATTGCGTCCCTTTGTTTGTTTTACACAAGAAATCTCTTAAACCATCAACACACGGCCTGAAGATAAGCCCGTCCCTCGAAAGAATCTACCTGGGCATCCTGATTGAAACCGGAATTTAATATAATTTGCAGTGCAGCATTGTAGGTTGTATATGTATACTTTTTTTCAGCATCAATTATGATTGTTTACCAAAAAAAACCCTAGTGCCTACGCCACTGTTTGTTGAACCCAAAACAGTTAGGATCCCCCACCTCTCCATCGAATATGATTATGAAATTTGAAGATCACAAATTGAAATGCCAAATGCCAAGCAAGAAAACCAATTTACTTTCATGGTCGAGGGCTAGGGGTATTGGTTTCGGGATCAGGTTCGGGTTCGGGGTCGGGGTCGAGCGTGGTAAATCGCTGCAATTGGATGTCATTGTGTCCCATGGCCAGTAGTTTGCACACAGGCGCAGTGGGATTGGGATTCTTGGGCTCTCTCACAAGTGTGCTCTCCCAGCAGGAGGGCCGGAGGAAGAGAAGAGATTTGCAAAGTGCATCTTTATTCTAGGAACGAAAAAAGATATCCAGACACCAGGTCAGAGAAATACGGCTGTAAAACAGCTAAATTTTAACATTAACAAGGATGTGTGAAAAGTTAGAAGGTCAACTGTGTGAACTAGATTATTGGCTCTCTAATAGTGTTCCTTGCATTTTTAGAAACTTATTTTATTCAAAAATTATTTTTTTTTTAAAGGAAAATTACATATAACTCGGCCAATATTTGTCAGATCCACAAATGTTATACCTTCCCGTTCTTAGCACTCCGAGTAGCATCATTTTCAATTAAAACCTGGCAATAAAAATTTTAAGCCATTTTTCGAAATTTTTCAAAGGGGTACCCCTTATGATTTTCGACAAAAATTGGTCGAAATTTTATTTGTTTGATATTTGAAACATTTTGATGCAGATAGAAGGATTATGAAACGCCGATTCATAAATGGTAATCCGTTTCTGAATCAGTTACAAAATAGTTAAAATATACCTTAAAAACTGCATCAAAAATTCAAATTTTGAAAAAAATAGAAAACGCAAAATACGGACCCCTATATTTTGAGTTTTTTTAAGGAAAATTATATATAACTCGGCCATTATTTGTCAGATCCAAAAATGTTATACCTTCCCGTTCTAAGCACTCCGAGTAGCATCATTTTTAATCAAAACATAGCAATAAAAATTCTGACCCATTTTTCGTATTTTTTCAAAGGGGTACCCCTTATGATTTTTGACGAAAATTGGTCGAAATTTTATTTGTTTGATATTTGAAGAATTTTGATGCAGATCGAAGTGGAATAAAACGTTTATTTGTGAGCGGTATCCCGTTTTTGAATCGGTTGCAAAATAGTTAAAATATCCGCTAAAAATTGAATCGAAAATTCAGATATTTTAACTAAAAAAAAAATTAAAAACTTGGTACCAATTTTCAAATTTTGGAAGTGGATAAGTGTATATTGCTCGGCTAATATTTGTAAAATACAAATAGAACTTACAACAAAAAAAGAAAAATAGTCCTTTTAAAAAATATAAAAAAATATAAAAGTATTGCTAATAATCATTATAAACGATGGGATCTTTATGACAACGACGAATATTTTTTAAAAAATGTATATTTTACATACGTTATAGCTAGATCTAGCGGGCATGGAACAAGTGCACAGCACTGTCCTTTTCGCAGGTAGCCTGGTCGGGTGTATGTGTGCGCAGGCGGGCAAGCGTTCCGCCGAAAATGAAGAATCCAGAAATACAGAATACAAAATCCTGCCCCAAAAACCAGTCCTCACTTGAGTTTTAGATTTCGAAGCGATCGGACCTAGAGCGGGAGAGCGGAAAATTTACTTAGCGGGGAAAACAAGTGGATAAACCTACGAAAATGAGCAAGCCAAGGGAGACCCGGGACTCTCCGCCGTTGGACTTTGCCCAGAAGACCCTCCAGGACTATGAAGTGCTTGCAGTTATGGGAAATGGATCGTTTGGCACTTGCTACAAGGTGCGGGACAAGGCGACGGGGGAGCTTTACGCCTGGAAGGGAATGAACTACGATGAACTGGATGACGCCAAGTGCGAGGCTTTGGTTTCGGAGATCAGCGTTCTGCGCCAACTGCAGCATCCGAACATAGTGCAATACTACCACCACCTGGTCAACAGGGAGGCCAAGTCCGTTTACATTGTCATGGAGTGCTGTGCGGGCGGAGATCTGGCCCAGTTAATACAGAAGGCCAGGAGCCAGCGTTGTCGATTCGAGGAGCCATATATTTGGCGGGTGCTCTTTCAACTGTGTAGGGCCCTGCAGGTCTGCCACAACAAGATACCCAACGGCACCATCCTACATCGTGACATCAAGCCGGCAAACATCTTCCTGGACGCAGACGGCAATGCCAAGCTAGGAGACTTCGGCTTGGCAAGGATGCTGAGAAGAGATCAGAGCTTCGCAGCCTCGTTTGTGGGCACACCTCACTACATGAGCCCGGAACTGGTACGAGGAAGGAAGTACGACCGTAAAAGCGATGTCTGGGCAGTCGGATGCTTAGTCTACGAGATGTGTGCCCTGCGGCCACCGTTCCGTGGGCGTCAGTTCGACCAGCTCTCCGAGAAGATTGCCCAGGGCGAGTTTAGCCGCATTCCGGCCGTCTACAGCGCTGATCTTCAGGAGATCATCGCCTTTATGCTGGCCGTCGATCATGAGCAGCGGCCCGGCATCGAGGTTATCATTCGGCATCCGCTGGTCGTCCGAAACATCTCCGAGTTGGACGGCGCATTCCCCACACTGGTGGAGGCTGGGGATGATTTCTACTTTCTGCCCACTGGAGCCAGGCTCTTTGAGGCGGAGGACGGGGGGCAGGTGCCACCCGAACTCTCCAGCACCATGTTCACGGAACAGTATAGTTTCAACGAAGGCTACGGGCAGAGAAGGCTCAGCGTGACGGGCGTTTTCACGCCGGACCTGAGGAGTGAGCTATTTTACTCGGCAAAGAGAAGGATTTTTCCTGGAAAAAAACTCCAGCAATCCGATCCGGCCTTATACGAGAGTATAAGGCGAGAGGACAAGGAAGTGGAGCTGGATTTCGGTGAGGAAGTGAAGAAGGAGAAGGATCAGCCAGTTGGTGAGCCACCTAAACCCATGTTGGAGAGCAGCCCGGCAGCTCTAACTCAAAACATCTTTGATGAAGTCCTCAAGACCCGTCTCCATGCCATTCGTGCTCAAGAATCTCTGCTGCAGCAGAAGCTCGTGGAGCTAAAGGCCCGGGAACAGGAGCTGTTGGTGTCTGAGCAGCGTGTCCAGACCCTGGAGAGGCAGCTGCAGGAGAAGCTGCTCCAACAGGAAAAGCACGTTTGTAAATGCGATCAGCTTGCTGCACCACCCATCCCCCCCAGGAAACCACTGAAGACGCCCCACGACGACACCTATTGCACTATAGAATTGAACGATACTTCGCCAACGGTGGCCAAACTGAACCTGGCCACTTTACCCGCTCCAAAGTCCCTGCACAGCAACGGGAATACCCTGAGGAAAGTGACCTTTCAATCCCCCAAGAAATTTGTCACCTATGGTATTGAAAATGTGCCGCCGCCCCACATCAATGATGCGCCAGCACCGGTGCCTATGCAAATGAGCGTGTCCAGCAATGATTCAGGGGATAGCCAGGCATCCTCCACACGTAGGAAGTCAATTCTGTCTCTATTCGGCCTAAACCGCGGCTCCAAGGCAGCCTCCAAAGCTGTGCCAGCAGTAAACCAGCCACCGCAGACGACGACCAACCAACGCGTCCAACGACCGCCTTTGGCTGTAAGGCCACCTCCCAGCCAAGAGCCACCACCATCAGCAGCTGCTCCTCCGGTGGCCAATCTCTGGACCAAGGAGCAGAAGAAACAGGCCTTCGAGTTGCTGGCGGCAATGAATGCAGCGGAAAGAGAGGCATCGGGAGTGGGAGGAATACCAGTAGCCGGGAGACGGCAGCATCTGCGGCAATCTGTTCGGGAGAGGAACTCCACTCTGCAGCGAAATCGCATGCGTCGATCCTTGGTCCTGGCTAATGGACATCAGAAGCTGTCAACGCGCGACCAAATGCTGATTTGAAAACAGGAGGAAACTGAAGAATAGAAGGAGTACCCAGATCCATGGCTACCATGGAAACTACGAGCGTTGTGATGTGGAAAAGTTCCGTAAAATATGCTTACTTTTTTGTGTGCTTTTTTTTTCAATTTGTATTATTAGTTTTTAAGATTCTGTATTTTTTTATGCTGCCATACATATATCGTGCAATTTGCATTTATATTTTTTTAAAATAAGAAATTCAGAGCTTTTAACTGAATAAAAGGATTTTTTTTAAATATAATCCAAGACCTCTTTTATTTATTTTAAATAAAACTTTGACTTGGCGCCCATAATTCCGTGACTCTTCGATGTGTTATCGATAGTTGTTGAAATGACAGCCCAAAGATCTGCTTGTTATGCAAGTAACAGGTGATCCCTTTCATTCTAGATTGGATTCCCGTCGCCACCGCATCTGTGAAGATGTTAACCAAGATGTCCGCCCGACTGCTGCAAGCTACTCGCCGTCTGTGCGTCCTGGAATCCTCGCGCAGATCCTACAGCTCCAAGATTCCCGAGGTAGTGGTTGTTTCTGCCGCTCGTACTCCAATCGGAAGCTTCCAGAGCAAGCTTGCGCCCCTGAATGCCACCCAGCTGGGAGCCATTGCCATCGAAGCGGCCATCCAGCGAGCATGCATCGCCAAAACCGATGTCCAGGAAGTGATAATGGGCAACGTGGTGTCTGCAGGACTGGGCCAGGCTCCAGCCCGTCAGGCGGCCATCTTTGCCGGACTTCCCACAAACGTTTGCTGCACTACAGTCAACAAGGTGTGCTCCTCCGGAATGAAATCCGTGATGCTGGGCGCACAGTCCTTGCAACTGGGCTATGCTGATGTGGTCGTGGCCGGCGGTATGGAGTCGATGTCAAATGTGCCATATTATCTTAAGCGAGGTGCCACTCCTTACGGCGGCGTTAACCTAGTCGATGGTATTGTTTTCGATGGTCTCTGGGATGTCTACAACAAGTTCCAAATGGGCAACTGTGCCGAGAACACGGCCAAGAAACTGGAAATCACTCGCCAACAGCAAGACGAGTTTGCCATCGAGTCTTACAAGCGATCTGCTGCCGCGTGGTCCAACAAGGTCTTCGAAGATGAAATTGCTCCGGTCAAAATCCAGCAGAAGAGGAAGCCGGAGGTCACCATTTCCGAGGATGAGGAGTACAAGAGGGTGAACTTCGACAAGTTTGGTCAGCTGGCCACGGTGTTCCAGAGGGAGAACGGCACGGTTACGGCCGGAAATGCATCCACCTTGAACGATGGTGGAGCGGCCGTGGTCCTGATGACCGCTGAGGCGGCTCAGAAGGCTGGCGTCGAGCCTCTTGCCAGGATTGTTGCTTTCCAGGTTGGTCATCCTTATTGAGAAATATTGTATAAATCGTTAAAATAATTCTTTAATTGTTAGGATGCCGAAACCGATCCCATTGATTTCCCGATCGCTCCTGCCCTGGCTGTCCCCAAGCTCTTGAAGCGCGCTTGCGTGAATAAGGAGGATGTGGCCATGTGGGAGATCAACGAGGCTTTCTCCCTGGTAGTGCTTGCAAATATCAAGAAGCTGGATGTGGACCCAGCCAAGGTGAACATACACGGCGGAGCCGTGTCCATCGGCCATCCGTTTGGCATGTCTGGAGCCCGTTTGGTGGCCCATTTGTCGCACAGCTTGAAGAAGGGCGAGTTGGGATGTGCCTCCATCTGTAATGGCGGCGGTGGCGCCTCCTCTATTCTCCTGGAGAAGCTTTAAAAGAGGTCCGGCGAGTCTGGAGTAATCTCTTAAAACCAGAAATGCATTTTGAGATAGTATACTCTATACTATGAAATTACTCTACTACTATGAAATTAGCAGTGCAAAGGTCAAGTGGAATATTTTGCTAAATTATATGTGCCCGAGCATTTATTTGAAACTTGTGATTTGCATAATGAAATTGTGAAATAATATAGAACTTCAGTGGAACTTTCAGTTAATGAATATGTTTTAATTATTGGATTTAAAAAGGGTATACTTATTTTTTTTTTTTTTTTTTATTAAGTTACTTCCCAGCTCGGTAGAGGGGGAAGAATTCCTTGGCCGTCCCGTGAAGACGGGTAAACGCCAACGCCTATGTGTGAAATTAAAAAATTTCAAGATACTTGTTATGACAATGTGAACAAATTATTTATATTAATATGACTTGAGGCTTGATGAAGTGGATGGGAAATAAACGATAATGAAGATAGATGCGATAGTCAACTATTTAAAGTGACCGTGTTAATATATGCACATGCTGGTTAATAGTTATCCATAGTTAATAGTATTAATTATCTCCAGTGACATAAAGAAGTTAAAAGGCGCCTTATAAATCTATATTAGCCAGTTTAATGAAATTAGTTATTGAGCTGTAATTTTCAACTGATTCTTGAGAAAAAAATCGATAAATGTTATCGTATTTTAGAAGGAGCGGGAAGTTCCTACGAATATTATCGTATTTGGAACAATTTAAAATTATGTGTGAAATATCCTCTATAGTATTGAAATTGCAATCGCAATGGGGACTGTCATGGACTTTTAGTTTGTATAGGGTATATTTATCAAAAGAATGACCGCTGAGGATTCTATTAATTTGTTTGATCTGCAATCTATTAAGATTGCAGTTTTCCGATTGGAACCATGGTTTGGGTAATGTATATGGATATAGAAGACAGTATCCTTTATTCCTTTCTATGCAAAAAGAATTATAGTCGCGCTCCCAATCAGTTTTAATTCTGTTGAAGATGTGAGTGATAGCATCATTGAGCGTGTATCTGATATTTAGATAAGATCCCAAGGTATTGTCGTTTTTTGCAGCAGAGTCAGCAACTTCATTTCCTTTAATATTCAAATGGCTCGGAATATGATTTAGTTGAATAACCAATATATTGTTGTCAATTTTTCTGAGTATTTCAGCCACAATGCGATTGGAAGAATTCCGCTTTTGAAGGGCTTGAATAGCACCCAAACTATCCGTTAGGATAGCTACCCTTGTAATATGTTGGTCAATTGCAAATTCAATGGCTTTCTCTAAGGCTGTAAGCTCTGCAGTAAGTGAAGAGAACTTCTTATTCATATAAAAGCTTTTAGTTGTGTTACTATTGATATGATAAAAGGAACACCCAGTGAAATTATCTCTAATAGAGCCATCCGTGTAAATTATTTCGAAATTTTGGCTAATTAATAAACTATGTTTTTCTCTAAAAAGAATGTCCACCACGTCAGGGCTGCTAGATTTCTTGTTATGGCAAGAACCCTTAAAAAAATTTGAATCAAATGTTAAAAGCCGAGGCTTAGAAAATGAGCAATCTACATAGGTTAAAGAATCAAAAATGTCTTTAAATTCTAAGTATGTTTTGATATAAGTAGTGTTTTTGGCGGCGAAGTTGTTTTTAAGTAGTAAAGCAGCTGGGAGATTAAGAGTGAAAATTTTAGCTAATTCCTTAGCTGTAGCAAATTTCATTCTATAGGCAGGGGGGAGTTCTGCTGCTAGGTGGTAAATAATATTTACAGGAGTGGATTTTAATAGTCCAAGGGATTTCCTTAGGTAGAAATTAGCATGTATTTGGATACTAGATGTAACAGTCTTCGAGATATTAGCAAAGGTAGAGCATGCATATTCGTATTTGGATCTAACGAAGGCTTTAAAAAAACTTAAGAGCTACGCTGGGGTGGATACCGAAGCGGCAACCACTAAGCATATTTAAAAACATATTTGTTTTATTCGCCTTAGCAAGCGTGTGTCTAACATGATTGATAGAGGAGTTGTTAGTACAAATGGTTCTTCCTAAGTAAATAACATGGTCAACTTCCTTAATCACTAGATTGTTGCACATAATATTTAAAGAACGTCTCCTATTGTTAAAATGTATCACAGATGATTTGGAGGGATTAAAAGTTAAATTAATCGTATCACAAGTTTCTTTAAAAAGATTCACCTTTTGTTCAAGAATTTCTCTTGCAGTCATGAAGTCTTTGTCAAAAGCAATAAGAAAAAAATCGTCCGCGTATTGAAAAAGTAGACTTTTTTGATCAATAATAGTATGAAGGACGGTTGTGTACAGATTAAAAAGAATAGGACTGAGGCAACTTCCTTGACTAACTCCTTTGCTTACAATGACCTCGGATTTTCCCAAGACCAGGATTCTTTTTCTCAAAAACTCAATAATGAAATTAATGTAGCGGTGGTTGAAACCAAAATCAACAAGAACTTTGCAAAGAATTGAGATATTGACACAGTCAAAGGCTTTGCTCAGGTCCAGTACTGCTGCCAAAACATGAAAGCCCTTGGCTTTAAGACTAGCAACATTGTTAATCACATCATTAATGCACTGTGCTGTTGAGCGGTTTCTCCTGAAGGCGTAAGACCTGTCAGGAAGTAATTGATTTTTTGTAATGTGTTCTTCTAAGCTATTTTTAACAAGACCTTCAAGGCACTTAAAGACTACACTTAACAAACATATAGGTCTATTGTTAGTAATGATAGAGGAATCTAAATTTTTTTTTGGAACAGGTACGATTTTAATTTTTCGCCATATATCGGGTATTTGGCCTTCGTTAAAAATATCATTCAACATGGAAACAAAATTTTGAATTTGTTCGGGTGGTAAAGATAGAAGCATACTATAAGAAATGTTATCCAATCCCTTCGAAGAATTTGGGTTACGAGTCTTAAGAAAGTCTAAGACTTCATTAGGAGAAAAGGGTATACTTAAATTTATAAAATAGGGTTTTTTAGATTCCAAATGTATAGATCGAAAGAAAAATGGTGTTATATATCTATGCTTTTATGAGCTTTGAAATTATTTGCATATTTTTGATGTGACTATTTTTGGATTTCATACAACTTTAAATACATATAACCTGTTTAAAAACTAACAGATACGTAAACTAATATCAAGTATCGATAGTATCTTGAATTTAAATATTATGTGAAGCCTGGTCACATTATAGCGGGGTACTTTTTTAAATGTTTAGTTTCGAGCTTTTTTGTTATTTTGTACAAATTTCTCACTTAATGGAAAGTGTGAAAGATAACCACAAGATATGTTAGTCTTGTTAGAATATATAAAGATGAAAACTTGCTTTATTTACTCTTTTTTGAAGATCAGAGGCGATCTTGGGGCGATAAAAGCTGTATCCAGGCGTAACTTATCCTGGAGTCTCAATTTATTCAAATAAAACTGTTTATTTGAGGACAACTTTTCCTTTAAGACATATTATTACCATGTCCGGGAGAGAAACTCCACTCTGCAGCGAAATCGAATGCGTCGATCCTTGGTCCTGGCTAATGGACATCAGAAGCTGTCAACGCGCGATCAAATGCTGATTTAAAACCAGGATAAAACTGGAGAATAGAAGGAGTACCCAGATCCATGGCTACCATGGAAACTACGAGCGTTGTGATGTGGAAAAGTTCCGTAAAATATGCTTACATTTTTGTGTGCTTTTTTTTTTCAATTTGTATTATTAGTTTTTAAGATTCTGTATTTTTTTATGCTGCCATACACATATCGTGCAATTTGCATTTATATTTTTTTAAAATAAGAAATTCAGAGCTTTTAACTGAATAAAAGGATTTTTTTTAAATATAATCCAAGACCTCTTTTATTTATTTTAAATAAAACTTTGACTTGGCGCCCATAATTCCGTGACTCTTCGATGTGTTATCGATAGTTGTTGAAATGACAGCCCAAAGATCTGCTTGTTATGCAAGTAACAGGTGATCCCTTTCATTCTAGATTGGATTCCCGTCGCCACCGCATCTGTGAAGTTGTTAACCAAGATGTCCGCCCGACTGCTGCAAGCTACTCGCCGTCTGTGCGTCCTGGAAGCCTCGCGGAGATCCTACAGCTCGAAGATTCCCGAGGTAGTGGTTGTTTCTGCAGCTCGTACTCCAATCGGAAGCTTCCAGAGCAAGCTTGCGCCCCTGAGTGCCACCCAGCTGGGAGCTATTGCCATCGAAGCGGCCATCCAGCGAGCATGCATTGCCAAAACCGATGTCCAGGAAGTGATAATGGGCAACGTGGTGTCTGCAGGACTGGGCCAGGCTCCAGCCCGTCAGGCGGCCATCTTTGCCGGACTTCCCACAAACGTTTGCTGCACTACAGTCAACAAGGTGTGCTCCTCCGGAATGAAATCCGTGATGCTGGGCGCACAGTCCTTGCAACTGGGCTATGCTGATGTGGTCGTGGCCGGCGGTATGGAGTCGATGTCAAATGTGCCATATTATCTTAAGCGAGGTGCCACTCCTTACGGCGGCGTTAACCTAGTCGATGGTATTGTTTTTGATGGTCTCTGGGATGTCTACAACAAGTTCCACATGGGCAACTGTGCCGAGAACACGGCCAAGAAACTGGAAATCACTCGCCAACAGCAAGACGAGTTTGCCATCGAGTCTTACAAGCGATCTGCTGCCGCGTGGTCCAACAAGGTCTTCGAAGATGAAATTGCTCCGGTCAAAATCCAGCAGAAGAGGAAGCCGGAGGTCACCATTACCGAGGATGAGGAGTACAAGAGGGTGAACTTTGACAAGTTTGGTCAGCTGGCCACGGTGTTCCAGAGGGAGAATGGCACGGTTACGGCCGGAAATGCATCCACCTTGAACGATGGTGGAGCGGCCGTGGTCCTGATGACCGCTGAGGCGGCTCAAAAGGCTGGCGTCGAGCCTCTTGCCAGGATTGTTGCTTTCCAGGTTGGTCATCCTTATTGAGAAATATTGTATAAATCGTTTAAATAATTCTTTAATTGTTAGGATGCCGAAACGGATCCCATTGATTTCCCGATCGCTCCTGCCCTGGCTGTCCCCAAGCTCTTGGAGCGCGCTTGCGTGAATAAGGAGGATGTGGCCATGTGGGAGATCAACGAGGCTTTCTCCCTGGTAGTGCTTGCAAATATCAAGAAGCTGGATGTGGACCCAGCCAAGGTGAACATACACGGCGGAGCCGTGTCCATCGGCCATCCGATTGGCATGTCTGGAGCCCGTTTGGTGGCCCATTTGTCGCACAGCTTGAAGAAGGGCGAGTTGGGATGTGCCTCCATCTGTAATGGCGGCGGTGGCGCCTCCTCTATTCTCCTGGAGAAGCTTTAAAAGAGGTCCGGCGAGTCTGGAGTAATCTCTCAAAACCAGAAATGCATTTACATACTCTATACTATGAAATTATTCTACTACTATGAAATTAGCAGTGCAAAGGTCAAGTGGAATATTTTGCTAAATTATATGTGCCCGAGCATTTATTTGAAACTTGTGATTTGCATAATGAAATTATGAAATAATATAGAACTTCAGTGGAACTTTCAGTTAATGAATATGTTTTAATTATTGGATTTAAAAAGGGTATACTTAATCTTTAGAAAATAAGTTTTTTTAGATTCCAAATGTAAAGATCCAAAAAAACATGGTCTCATATATGTATGCTTTTATGAGCTTTAAAATTATTTGCATATTTTTGACGTAATTGTTTTTGGATTTCATACAACTTTAAATACATATAACCTGTTTAAATAGTAACAGATACGTAAACTAATATCAAGTATCGATAGTATCTTGAATTTAAATATTATGTGAAGCCTGGTCACATTATAGCGGGGTACTTTTTTAAATGTTTAGTTTCGAGCTTTTTTGTTATTTTGTACAAAGTTTTCACTTAATGAAAAGTGTGAAAAATAACCAGAAGATATGTAAGTCTTGAAAGAATATATAAAGATGACAACTTGCTTTATTTAAACTTTTTTTAAGATCAGAGGCGATCTTGGGGCGAAAAAAGCTGTATCCAGGAGTCACTTATCCTGGAGTTTCAATTTATTCTAATAAAAGTATTTATTTGAGGACAACTTTCCCTCTAAGAAACATTTTAACCGTGTCTTGATCCTTATTATACTAACCTAGATAAAAATACCTTTCAGAATCAATAAATTGAATAAAATTTCCTCCTGGTTTTGTACTTTTATTTCAAGCCTATTTTATAGGTAAGAGATTTGTAATACGTTCTATGCAACATTTCCTCTTGGCCACCTCCTCGCTGACAAAACTTCCCATATAAAGACAAACACTGAACAAACATGAAGAACACCGACCAGGATGTATACCGCCCACAGATCCGACTGCCGAATACGCTTCTCGCGGTAGAGGTACCTGCTCCGGAAGTACCGCTCACTAGCCACCTGACCGGCCCAGTGATGTAGCAGGCCCACCGCACGGATCGACATGACCAGATGGTCCAGATGGCCGGCCAGATGCGAGTGCTTTTGCAGATAGATTGCTAGCTGTTGTTCCAGAACTTGCTGAGACACCATATGGTAGGCTCCAGCACGATGTCCCCGCTCCGCCAGCTGAAGCAGTGCATCCTGAGAGATAAGTCCAAAGATAAGAGGATGTGAGCCGGCATTATCCCGAACCGAAAAGCGCTCCAGCTGCCTCAGGACCTCCTCCTCCAGCTCAGAGCTTACGATGATTGTTCGAAGCTCTAGAATGTTCTGCAAGCCTGTTACCTCTCTGAGGTCCTGCAATGTGGTTCGACTCATTATCGCCGTGTATCCACCATTAACCAGGTCCTGCAAGCTGTCCGGCAGTCGTTGGTGTAAATGGTAGCGCAGGATTAGGAACAGCAGGGCCGAGTACATGGCCCGTACGACGAGCGTGAAGCACAGCCAGCTGGCAAAGAGTAACTGCATCGATACACGCTCAGGCGGCTCGACGGGTAAGCCCAAGCTAGCGGCATAAACCGCCAGAAGCAGGGCCAAGCGGTCGCCTCGAAATCCGCTGACGGTTTGTCGGAAGTATATCATTACCAGGCCGGAAATGCAGAGGAAACAAACCACTAGACATACCCAGGCCAGAGCCTGGAAGGGAAACGACCAGATCTCCAGGCTGGTCAGGTTGTGGGCGTTTAGCAAGACAAACCCAACAATTCTATTGGAGTAATGAGGAAAAACGGCAGTCAGGTTTCCGGAGTACTGGATGTGCTTCCTCACATAACCAATGGCAAGATGAGCTACGCGTCCTTGAACCTGAAGTATTTGAAAGGAGATACACATGGCTGGCTTGTTCTAGAAATTTGGGAGCAACTTACCATCTGTTGAAGCAGCTTCTGCTCCGTCCAGGTGGTTTGGTTACGTTGCTGCTCTTCCAGACCGTCAAATTTGATGCTGAAGTTCATCCTCCGCGACAGCTCCTCCAGCAGGTGACCCTCCAGGCCCCATAGCACTTGGTGCTTTACGTCGACCTCGAAAAAAGGAGAGATCCGCCGGGCCAATACCATCAGCTGACAGCCGTGAAGATTACGCAGCTTAGAGGGAAAGTGGTCACGACTTTGCCAGGCTGGACCCAAGAATTGGTTGATCCTCGTTGGACTCGAGTTGTTGCAGCGCCCGGGGGCATATGGAAAATACGTGTGGACGAGAACCTGACCGCCTGAGCTTTGGGTCATCACGTTGCAGTTGATGAGCTGGTGGCGCCAACAGTACGCGAAGACGCCCTGCATGTCCTGGGGAATCAGGGCGTCTCGCTGTTGCAGGAAGATGAAGTAGTACTCGCTGCCGTCCGACGTGGCAGTGTAGGTGTGAATCTCAATGTCGCTAAGAGGAGTTAATAGTCAAAGTTGAAAGGTAATGCATTAAAATCTACAACTCCTTACAGTAGGGCATCCAGCGAGTCCACCAGGAGGAGATTGTGGGTGCGCGGTCCTTCAATTCGACGCGGGCGACCATACTCGACCAAAACCAACTGAATGATCATGGTGTCGACACTCTCGTACAGGAGCTGCATGATGTTCCGGTAGAAGTTCATCGGACTGGGACGCCGGCACGACAGGATCACGATGAAGGCGGGAGCAATGCGCTGATAGAAGTCCTCGATGAACACCCTCAGAGCCTGGGCCACGTGCTGGTTGATGGATGCAGCTTGGGTCTGAGCGCCGGAGTACTTCATGGACTCGAAATGCAGCAGGCTGGTCACGTTCATGTCGATAGGATACTGACCATCTAATCCCCGAAAGTCGGTGTCAAGACGGTGCCACGGACATTTGTTTGCATCTCATTAGGGGTTGGAACTGGAACGTCGTGAGGACAAAGTCAAACAAAACTATTGTAGGTCACGCGCGGGGTGGATGTCCAGGAAGTCTTACTCATGCCATGTCCGAACTATTTACGGTATCCTGACCTTCATTCTATTCATAATATTCTATATTTTATTTTATATGTGTCAAGGATTCATCAGATTTGTTCCTCTATTGATTTCCTTCAAAAACACTCGTTCTATTTGTTTTTAATTATCGTTATCTTACTCGGAGATCTGTCCATGATATGTGGGAACCGGGAAGTCGCATTCTGCCAGTCAAGACCTTTCCTCAGAGATACCATGAACATTACCGCGAGTCGCGGTTCCATCCAGGCCATCTATAAGAGCTACGTGGAGAACTCTCGCATCGATATGCAGGCTGAGGATGCCAACGTGTACGTTGCACGGGCCCTCCGGCTGGTCATAGAGACTGTGCTGACGCAGCTGAGTGCAACCCTAGTGGTGACGATATCCACCAGAGAGCTCGGCACCGCTCAGTGGTTCGAGTACGTGATGAACAACCTGGTGGATTCGTGGCATTTGGCGGCCGTTCAGCTCCTGAGCTTCCGGTCGGACCAGCCTCCGGTTCGAGTGTCCGGTCGAAAGAGAGTCAACTTGCTGCTGGTGGACTCCTACGCGGGATTACTGTAACTTTATTTTTAAAATTTATTCCATTTCTTATAAATCTATTTTCCAGGGACACGAACATTACGGAGGATAACGCCGACTTTGATGATCCGGATTACTACTTTATCTTCCTGCAGGCCCGGGATCGTTTCATTCCACAGCAAAAGCAACTGATCCTGGACCATTGTCTGACCCATTATTGGCTCAACTGCAACGTAATGATCCAGACCGCCCAGGTGGAGGTCCTGGTGTACACCTTCTACCCCTATTCGGCGGAAAAGTGCCAACAAGCGGACCCAGTGCTGGTTAACCAATTCGATGGCAGGCGGTGGATGCAAAATGGTTCCATGTTCCCGGAAAAACTGGGTCAGATGCACGGCTGTCCGCTGACGGTGCTCACTTGGCACCAGCCTCCGTTCGTGGCACTGCACTGGGATCCGGGATCGGAAGAGATTCACGCCAGCGGCTTTGAGATCCAGCTGCTGGATTACATGGCGCAGCAGATGAATTTCAGCGTGCATCTGAGCAATCTCTCGCTTTTGCGACCGGAGAAGTACCACCTGGCGGAGGGTGAAGCGGAAGGACCTTTGGAATTAGTAAGTATCCGATTGTTACCTTAGCACAACAGATGCATGTACCCTTTTTGTGCATCAACAGCTCCTCCAGCGCCGTGCCAATCTGAGCTTGGGATATTTCCGTCAGACAGCACGGCGGAAAAAGCTTTTGACTACGCCCATGTCCTACTACTCCGCCAATTTGGTGGCAATCGTCTCTCTGGAGCGCTACCGCCTGGGACCCCTCGCTCTGCTCGTATTTCCTTTTGATTTAGCCGTATGGCTCCTGCTACTCAGCGCCGTGACTCTTCATACGGGTCTTCTGCTCTTACGACGGCAGAATGGCCTCCAGATATGGGCTATTCTACTGGGAGCCTCTGTAACTCGCTGGCCTCTCCCTTGGAGGTTTCGCATCATTGCCGCCCACTGGTTGTGGGCCAGCATACCCCTGCGAGTCACCTACCAGTCCCTGCTGTTCCACTTGATCCGTCTGCAGCTGTACGAAACCCCGCCGGTGCAGTTGGATGACCTGATAGGTGAGGGCTACGAAGCAGTCAGTACGGCGAACACGCAAAGACTGATCCAGGAGGTTCCTGAGGTGGCCCAGAATCGGAGAATGTTTCACGCCTTGGACGCTGCTTCCGACTGGGAGGTCCTGGCCTCCCTGCAGCGGAATATGTACGACAGGATCTTTGGCATCGTCAACCAAGACGTTAGCCAGTCCTACTTGCAATCCTTCGCCTCGGTAGAGCAGGATGCCTACCACGTGCTGAGGCAGCCCGTGAATGTGGAGTACACGGGTATGTACATGCCGAAGCACTCCTACATGTTCGCCAAAGTCGACGAGACTGTGCGGCGACTGGACGCAGGAGGATTCATCCTGGCCTGGCGGAGAGCTGCCTTCAACGTCCGTCGCTGGGGCAGCAACCAGGAGCAGACGAGTCGCCAACTGGTCAATCACAACAAGCTATCGGGCATTTACATAGTATTGGCGGGGATGTACCTGCTGTCTGGAATTGTGTTTGCCGGGGAAGTCCTACTCCACCGCCGGTTTCGGAACGCTCCAAGAAGATAGTTAATGTCCAAAGCCCTCGTGTTTACTTTCGTGCCCCACGGTGGCGCCCACTCCAAGCAGCAAAACTTTTACCATTAATCACCACGACGACAAACAATTTCGGGAAAAGTAACACAGAAAATCGGGAAGTCCAGCTCCAGTCATTAGCCATCCGATATCCCCGGCGGGATGAACATCAGCGCACTTCTATCCTCCTACTACGACCTCTCTGGGGAACAGATGAATCATATAAACGAGTTCGTGGCCCGGGCGCTGCTCCACGTGGTCCATCACCACATTCTAAGTGTCACCCCATCCCTGGTGCTCACTCTCTGCTGCCGGAGCAACCACACCTGTAACTTCTACAACGAGATGATGAGCACACTCTTCCGTCAGTGGGGCCTGGCTCCGCTCCAGATCGTCAACGTGGAGCGGGACGTTCCGTGGCGACCAGTGCCTGGCCGCCGGCATTTCAATGTCATTTTTACCGACTCCTTCGCCGCCTTCTCGGAGATCCGAATGGAGTACTATGCACGAGAGTACAATTACAATGAGCACTACTTTATTTTCCTGCAAGCCCGGGACCGCCTGCTCCAGGGTGAAATGCGACAGATCTTCGACTACTGCTGGCGCTATCATCTCATCCATTGCAGCGTACAGGTGCAGAAGTCTAACGGCGACATCCTCTTTTACAGCTACTATCCGTTTGGAGAGCTAGGATGCCGGGACATGGAGCCACAGCTTATCAATCGCTACAACGGAAGCATGCTGGTCGAACCGGAGCTCTTCCCGCGAAAACTGCGTAACTTCTTTGGGTGTCCACTGCGCTGTGCCCTGTGGCATGCTCCGCCTTTCTTGCGTCTCTACGATCACCAAACGGACGAGGAGCAACTGGGCCCATTTGTGGGTGGCGGCTACGAGGGTCGCCTGCTCCTAGCGCTGGCCGAGAAAATGAACTTTACCATAGACGTATTGCCACTGCAGAGCAATTTGCATGACAGAGCTCTAGAAATGGTTTGTTATAATGGTTTTTGATTAGGTTTTTGATTAATTCTAATATTTTGATTTGAATTCCAGCTGCAAGAGGACATGGCAGACCTGACGCTGGGCGGGATTCGACAGACAGTGCCCCGTAGCCTCAAGGCCACCTCAACGGACAATTACCACCAGACACGCGCAGTTTTCGGGGTCCTGGCTTCCAGCTACGAGCTGAGCTCCCTCGACATCCTCCTCTATCCGTATCGCTTCACCATTTGGCTGGCCATCCTAGGCGTGGTGGCCTTTTCTGCCCTGCTCCAGCTCATGATCGAGCGGTTCTTGCGCGAGCGCCAGTCAGGTTCCCAGTCCTGGCAGAATCTTGAATTGATTTTTGTGGGTATGCCGCTGATAAAAGTTCCCAGGTCCCACACGGGCCGGCTCTATTGCCTAATGCTCATGATGTACACGCTGATTATCCGGACCATATATCAGGGATTGCTGTATCACCTTATCCGAACGCACCAGCTAAACAGGTGGCCTCAGACGATAGAGGCGCTGGTCCAGAAGAACTTTACGGTGGTCCTGACATCCCAGGTGCAAGAGGCTTTGGCAGAGATACCCAGTGTGCAGCATATGAAGTTCCATCTGCTGGACGAGGCCTCGTCAGAACTTGACCCTCTGTACTTTCTGGAGGCAAATCATCAACTACGTAGGCATGTAACTGCCTCTGCCCTGGACAACTTCATACACTTCAACCGGCTGAGCGCGGACCGAGTTCATCAAAGTGGTGGCCTAGGAGAGGGAGCCCACTTCGAGCTTGTTCCGGAGGACATTATCAACCTGCCGCTGACCATGTATCTACGAAAGCACTCGTTTCTGATCGACCAGATAAACGAGGAGATCCTTTGGATGCGTTCTGTAGGGCTCCTGGCGGTGTGGGCCAGATGGGAGCTGGTGGAAAGTTACCTACGCAACGAGCAGAGTTTCCAGATTCTCGGCCTCCTAGAGCTTTACGTTATTTTCCTCATGGTTACGTTGGGACTGTCCCTCAGCCTGGTGGTTTTCATCCTGGAGTTGGCATCTCGTCGATTTTTGCACCTGAGAAGATTGTTTTCCTGATCAGGACCTGAAAAAAACCAAAATGTTTCTCAATAGAAAATATTAGATAGTTTTGAAATAAAAAACAACAAAAACAAGTTATTCGGTGAAGAATCCATCAATAGAGTGTGCTACGAAAAATCGAAAAAAAATTTTCTTTCCATGTTTTGATGCAGATTAATAGAGAATCCTTCCACGATTCCGAAAAGGTATCCCGTTTAAGGATCGGATGAATATTGGCCAAGATACTGCCTTCGCAAAAGTCAAAAATTTCGATTCTCTGGATTTCCCTATTTTTCGAAGGGGTCCATCAGAAAATTTTGAAAAAAATCGAAAAAAAATTTCCTTCCCATGTTCTGATTCAGATTAATAGAGAATCCTTCCACGATTCCGAAAAGGCATCCCGTTTAAGGATCGGATGAATATTGGCCGAGATACTGCCTTCGCAAGAGTCCAAAATTTCGATTCCCTGGATTTCCCTATTTTTCGAAGGGGTCCATCAGAAAATTTTGAAAAAAATCGAAAAAAAATTTGCTTCCCATGTTCTGATTCAGATTAATAGAGAATCCTTCCACGATTCCGAAAAGGTATCCCGTTTAAGGATCGGATGAATATTGGCCGAGATACTGCCTTCGCAAGAGTCCAAAATTTCGATTCCCTGGATTTCCCTATTTTTCGAAGGGGTCCATCAGAAAATTTTGAAAAAATCGAAAAAAATTTGCTTCCCATGTTCTGATTCAGATTAATAGAGAATCCTTCCACGATTCCGAAAAGGTATCCCGTTTAAGGATCGGATGAATATTGGCCGAGATACTGCCTTCGAAAGAGTCCATATTTACGATTTTCTGGATTTCCCCATTTTTGAAGGAAGTCCATCAGAAAATGTTGAAAAAAAATCGAAAAAAAATTTTCTTTCCATGTTTTGATTCAGATTAATAGAGAATCCTTCCACGATTCCGAAAAGGTATCCCGTTTAAGGATCGGATGAATATTGGCCGAGATACTGCCTTCGCAAGAGTCCAAAATTTCGATTCCCTGGATTTCCCTATTTTTCGAAGGGGTCCATCAGAAAATTTTGAAAAAAATCGAAAAAAAATTTGCTTCCCATGTTCTGATTCAGATTAATAGAGAATCCTTCCACGATTCCGAAAAGGTATCCCGTTTAAGGATCGGATGAATATTGGCGAGATACTGCCTTCGCAAAAGTCAAAAATTTCGATTCTCTGGATTTCCCTATTTTTCGAAGGGGTCCATCAGAAAATTTTGAAAAAAATCGAAAAAAAATTTGCTTCCCATGTTCTGATTCAGATTAATAGAGAATCCTTCCACGATTCCGAAAAGGTATCCCGTTTAAGGATCGGATGAATATTGGCCGAGATACTGCCTTCGCAAAAGTCAAAAATTTCGATTCTCTGGATTTCCCTATTTTTCGAAGGGGTCCATCAGAAAATTTTGAAAAAAATCGAAAAAAAATTTGCTTCCCATGTTCTGATTCAGATTAATAGAGAATCCTTCCACGATTCCGAAAAGGTATCCCGTTTAAGGATCGGATGAATATTGGCCGAGATACTGCCTTCACAAAAGTCAAAAATTTCGATTCTCTGGATTTCCCTATTTTTCGAAGGGGTCCATCAGAAAATTTTGAAAAAAATCGAAAAAAAATTTGCTTCCCATGTTCTGATTCAGATTAATAGAGAATCCTTCCACGATTCCGAAAAGGTATCCCGTTTAAGGATCGGATGAATATTGGCCGAGATACTGCCTTCGCAAAAGTCAAAAATTTCGATTCTCTGGATTTCCCTATTTTTCGAAGGGGTCCATCAGAAAATTTTGAAAAAAATCGAAAAAAAATTTGCTTCCCATGTTCTGATTCAGATTAATAGAGAATCCTTCCACGATTCCGAAAAGGTATCCCGTTTAAGGATCGGATGAATATTGGCCGAGATACTGCCTTCACAAGAGTCCATATTTACGATTTTCTGGATTTCCCCATTTTTGAAGGGAGTCCATCAGAAAATGTTGAAAAAAATCGACAACAAATTTGCTTTCCATGTTTTGATGCAGATTAATAGAGAATCCTTCCACGTTTCCGAAAAGGTATCCCGTTTAGGGATCGGATGAATGTTGACTGAGATACTGCTTTCGCAAGAGTCCATAATTTCGAATTTCTGGGTTTCTCCATTTTTCAAGGGGATTCCCCTGCAATATTTTGCCTATGAGCTTCATCCTGTATCTTTCTTAAAATGTGCCAGTGTGTCATTTTGCAAAGTAAAATTTCATTTTAATATTTAAGCAGTTAATCTTGGCGATTTTAGTTGTCGTGCGGGTGACTCCCAGCGGTTTCGGTGGCGGCATGGACATTATCCGACTATTTGTAAACCCCTTACGGTCGACATGGCGATTGCATGTCCCTGACACTGAGGGGTGTGCTCCGCCAACCACCCTCCGCCATCGCCCTCCACCCACAGGTGTCTGCTGGTGGTGCGTGTGTGTCTGTGCCTCTGATGGTGTTAATTTATGGTTATGCGCCTCATGCATAATACTGACACCGAAACCTGTCACGCACATGCCTCCGGAACGGACTCCGGCTGGCTGTTGCGAGTGGCGGTGGGGGCTCCGGGTAGGTTAGGTGGTTGGGCGGCTCAGTGGTTCCGTCTGTACGCAGCAATTAGTTTAAGTGATGAACAGAGATTTGTTAATGCATTACCTTTACATGCAGGACCCTAAAATTAATTTGAATCGCTCGGGGTTAGGTTTTTGTGTGAAAGCCGAATGTATGCCCAAGGGTAAACAGTGCGGTTCGCTGCTGTAAGGCTGTGGAGGACATGATTTAATAATGTACTTTTTTCCGTACATAAACAATATTTGCTTGCAGGGGCTTCCTTCCAATAAACACTTAGGAAGCTCATAGGAAATGGATGTTAAAACTTTACAAAATTCAACACATTATAATATCTTAAACATTTAAGGTCCTTAGTATTAAATTATAATTTAAAAACTAACTTAGCAAACAGAGAACCTAATATTTTGTATGCAATTGTCGATTTGTTTGAGGGTTTGCAAAAAATCAATCACATAAAATGGCAAAGATTTTCGCGCAAGCTTCTCATTTCGACCATGGATTCCCGCCTGGCCATATCTGGGTTTCTGACTCTTCTCCTGTTTTATTTCCGAGCCGAAGCTATCCTGTGGCCCGATCAGCATCCCCAGGAGGAGCAAATGGCTCTCCAGCTAGCTGGGACTTTGAAGAGCATCCTAATCAACAGCTTTGCGGTAAACGATCTGAGTCTTTGCATTTTCCCAGCCTACGACCAGATGTCTCCGGATGAGGTGAATCTAGTACATCGTATCCTGGATCTCAGCCTGTCTAATCTCCACATGCCCGTGCCGATTGTTCTTAGTCCGAACATCGAGAAAGAGATACGCGAACAGATATTTTCCAGGCTTCTGTTTGTGACGAGAATGGAGCAAGTTATGTAAGTTTTGTTTTAGTTTAAAAATTAACTTTCGGTTACCAAAGCTGTCCTGTGTAGTTCCATTGCATCGTCCTGGGAGGAAAATCCCCTATTCCTCATTGTGTGGCTGAAGCCTCCGCCAAAATTTGAACAAACACAGAAGATGTCCTCGGTTTTCCGATACTTTCTCCACGAGCGCTACAACATAAATTCCCTGATCTTGGTCCCCGGCGTCCAGGGCGTTCAAGCTTACCATGTCTGGCCATACACGCCGCATAGTTGCGCCAGCACAACTCCGGTGGAGGTCTCCCTATCAGACACGACCCTGTACCATCTGTACCCCTCTCGTTTCAAGAACCTGCACCGATGTCGTCTGAGCGCTATTGTGTGGGAAATTCCACCGTATATGGGGGTGAAGTGGGAGGAGGGCAAGGTGACAGGGTTGGACGGAGTGATTCTTCACATTCTATCAACTAAGATGAACTTCACCCTCGAACTGTTGCGTAACGAGCCTACTGACCTTATCGGCGGCGCCAGCTATTTGAACGGAACACTCACGGGTCCCTACAAAATGCTACTCGAACGTAGAGCCAACTTTACAATAGGATGCGCATCCTGCACGCCGGAGAGATCCGCCTTCTTGAAATCTACATCACCGTACAGTCAGATGGCCTATGTGATTGTGATGAAGGCGCCCGAGCGGTACAGCATCTACGAGGTAATGCTATTCCCCTTTGCCCGCTACACTTGGATGGCCCTCGTTTTGGTTTATTTGTTTCACCGACTTCTCGGAATCCGTCGGAGGCTGCCCGGTCCCTTCTTGGCCGGCTGGATGCTGTGGATCTTCGTCATCCGAGCCAGTTACGAGGCTTCGATTTTCAATTTCCTGCACAATTCGCCCGGGAAGCCATTGCCGCACACCCTGGAGCAGATGCTGGATCAGGGCTATCGTTTCATTACGGATCATGCCACCTTCCGAATGACACTCAAGCTACCGGATTTCCGTGACCGAACCACCATATCTGAGGGCCAGCCCGTGGACGTGTTTGATGCCTTGTTGAAGGAGAGGTCCCAGAAGATTGGCGCCTTTACTAGTCGCGCCTTCTTGGCCTATCACCTGACCAAGAAAAAGAAGCGCAGGCATCGTTTTGTGATCCTGGCGGAGAAGATTGTGGACAATATGCTGTGCATGTACTTCCCCAAAAACTCCTATTTCGCCTGGGACCTCGACAGGCAGCTCTTTAAGATGCGCAGCTTCGGTTTGCTTCAACACCATTCCCAGAGGCTTGCCTGGAGCAACATGCCCACCACATCTGACGCGCATGGTTGGTCCTCCTCCACGGGAGGAGAGGAAGAAGACGCTGCCACGGGATTCGCAGAATCCATGGGTTTTATCCTGGCAGCCCTCAACTGCTTGATAGGAGCCTTGGGCTTTTCAATCCTTGCTTTCGGCTTGGAGCTGCTCAGCCAAAGGCGCCGCTGGCAGAGATTAGCCGAGTTAATGGAAAGAATTTGATGGAGAGCTATGGACTATGGAGAAGAGTCGATCTCTATCGATCATTTTAGTACGCAAGGACAACTATTATCCATTTAAACATCGAATAAAGTGTTTAAAATGTTTCATTAGAAGCTTAAATAAAAATATATCAAATAAATGTACTCTTTTTCCATTGTATAAGGATTATTTTTCTCACAGTTGCTTGGAACCTCTTAGAACTTAGATAACTTAGAACATTTTTAAACTTCTATCTATTTTGCCGTCCCACTTTGTGATATTCCAAAATAAACGCTATGCAACGTAGTTATTAATTGCAGAAAGAGCCCTATGTAAGCGCGGACGACTCCGGGCCATCATTTCCAGAAGGAAGATCAAGCTGGCCAGGAACTGTAGCACCGCACAGCTAAAAAATATCCCTCCTAGACGCCAGGGGGTCAGGGGCTTTGGTTCCAGGTTCCTGCGCTTAGCTAGGCGCTCAATCCGGTCGACGTACAGCCTTCGATAGCGAGCTACAATCCCTGAGGACATCATGGCCATGAGGAGCCGGTCGATGCGAGGCTTGAAGTAGGAATGCGGTCGCATGTACATGGTCAGGGGAGCGGTCATCAGGGGCACAGGCAGCAGAGTCAGGTGCCTGCGGTTGGGTCCGGAGCGGTAGTCAAACTGGTATACTGTGGGTTGCAGCAGGGGCACTGCTATCCCGGGATCGTCCTCGTCCCGGAGCCGACGCAATGACGCTTCCAGATTAAACACCACTTTAGTCTCAGTAGTTTCGAGCGAATCCTTGAAAATTCCTTTTAAGGCCGGCAGCATGTGGAACACGTAGCCCTTCTCCAGGACCTGGGAGAGCTTTGTCAACGGCGCTCGCAGTTCCACGTCCTGGAGCAGTAGGTACAGCTGGCCTGTGTAGGCGGCCCGTAGGATCAGGGTTTGCAACAGCCAGAGCATCAGGAGGAATCGCGCAAAGTTCCTCCGCGGGTTGTGCATGACCGTTCCACCCAGCAAGCTATACAACATCCCAGTGCAGGGCAGATGGTTTCTTCTTCCCAAGACCAGGTTCCTCAGGCACGGTACAGTCATTACGGAAAGGCTGGCGATCACCAGAATGCCGGACGCTAAGCTGGCCAGGATGCAGTACCATATGATGTGACGAAATGGGCGAATCAGGCGCTGCATGGGCGTAATAGACCCGCCACTGGGAATGGTAAGAACAATGGAGAAGCTGGTGTAGGAGACAGTGGGCAGCATCAGATCCGCTCGAGCCTTGCTGTACATGTAGCAGACGAAGGTAAGGTTGACCTCACCATCCACCATCTAAGAAAGATTTCACATATATTAGGGATAAATATTTTTCATTAAATGGTTTCGAAGATTACCATTTTGAGAATGCCCGAATAATTCCCATCGGGTAGGATTTCGCCGCGGTTTTTGTCCTTGCGTTCCACCAGTTTAATGGTGAAGTTCATCCGCTCCGCCAGGGCGCGCGAAATCATTCCCTCAATGCCGTGAAGGACCCTGCCACCTGGAACATTTTTGTCATCGTCCAGAATAACATAGGGCCGGTGTTCGAAGGTTGCAACGACCATCTCACATCCGTGCATGTTGGCCAACTTGCTGGGAAAGAGTGGCTTTGTCAAGCCGAAGCCGCTGGAGGGCGGCGGCAGGTGCTGGAAAGCTGTATAGAAGACCGGCAGCGAGGATTGGCAGCGGTGTGGCCCGTACGGATAGTAGGTGTACAACTGGACAGTTCCATTTCGCGGGAGAAAGACAACTAAATTCAGAACATACATGTTGAGCAGGCGCCGGAACATGATCTTGATGGACTCCATCGGTTCGTCCTCCACGCCTGTGTAGACCAGGACAAAGTAGCCGTTTCTCTTGTACGGACTGCCCACTTGAATCAGGTACATCTCCAGCCGGATGTAGGCCCGCAGGCTGTCCACAAACCAAATGGCGAGGGGCCTGCCCGTAATGCCGCTCGGAGGCGGCAGCTCTTTCATGTTCTCGGTCTCCTCCACTTGGTCGTCCTCGAGCAGGAACTGGATCATGCCGCTGGCAGAGGACTTGCTCAGGGTGGCGTCGATAAGGTCGTTGTGATGCCCTCGACTCTGCCGACTCGTGGCGAACTGGACCACTGCCAGCGGCGTACTGGTGGCCCGGCCGTAGAAGCTATCGATAGCCCAGACCAGGGCGTAGACCAGGCTCACGTTGTGCACCCCTGTGGCCAGCATTGCGGATGACTCCTTCGCTGCGACTGTGTCCGGCTGAGCACGTCCATTGCATGATATTCGAGCAGGAGCTCGTTACCGCCGGAGTTGCGTGCCGGAAGGCCTATCGCCAGGAAATCTGTAAGTGCATTAGAAATGATGCCCAACTGTGTAATTTATTTAAATGAATATTTATGCCTGTTTTGATGCCTTCCTATGGCCGTTTGGCTTGTTTAATTTTAATATGCGATTTTATAACTAAATAATTATATTTGCATTCACTGGCTTTTACGAAAATGGGTCAATAAATATTTGCTGATGGGGCGATTAACAAAAAAGTAAGTAAACAATTTTTAACACCTTCGGAATTGTTCATTTTCTGGTTAGTCAGGAGTATTTTTTATAGCCAAAACAAAAATAAAAATTAAAGAAAATAGAGTAATTGCTACTGAGGGAGAGATTCACTTCTATTGTCTTTCAAAAATACTAATAAAAGTCTATGATGTGAGACCACTCTTTCATCCACAAGCCATTGAAAAAATAACCTTTTTTTGAATCACTTGTCTTACGCATTCTGGCATAGCTCTGACACCTCCATGAGTAATTCAATGATTCTCACGGAGATGGTCAGATACCAGAGATGTATATCATATATCGGAGGTCGCTGTACCGTCTTTCTTTCACTTTTCTTCAGCTTTTTGCTGACCTCTGCGAAAGCACCCGCCGAGGTGATGAAAACTTTTGTTACTCTTGTCGCTACAAGGTGCTCCACCTCCGCACCACCACTCCGGACCCACTGGTGCTTTCCGCTGAGCTCAGCCACCTTGCTGGTGACACACAAACGATCGTGAATTCCGACGGGCGACACCTGAAGGGCAGCCCCCACCAAGGGCCTCCGAAACGAGCAGGAGCGCATTCAACCAGGAAGAAGGTGCCCCCAAGATATTATATACATTTAAATTAATATAATTATATAACAAATATAATCAATTTTTTTAAAGTATTATCTACCCTTCCGTGTGGCTCCGGACCTGTTGCGCCGGACGGACTGTTTACAGTGCATCATTTGCGCTGATTTCGTGGAAAAGCTTTGGAAGAAATAGTTAAGCAAGGTTTTTTGCTGGCGGCTGCACTTGCTCCGCCGGCTGCTGTGGTCTGGTTCCCGATTCGGGGGCACACACGGAAACGCTTTCGGTTCTTTTGTTGCTCTTTGTTCCCCCCAGACATTTCCATTCTCCGGTGCGTGCAAAATGCTGCCGTGGAGTGGCTGCCGACCCGGTCACGAATTCGACGACGTCGGCACTTTTTGGACCGCCGGGCGGTGGCAAAAAATCTATTTGGGCCACTGTCCGATGGCAACTGGCAGTCAGTCGGCAAGTGAGCTCCGGCAGATACCGATCGGTCTTCCAGGTAGTGTCGAAATTCCCCAGAGTATCTCCAGGATCACCCAATCACAAACAGGATGAGATCGCACAGCCAGATGCTGCTCCTCCTGGCGCTACTCAGCGTTCAGGTGGCAGTCCACGTTTCCGGCCAGTCACCGGCAGAGGTGCCGCCCCAGGCCACCATAACCTCCGGCAGCGAAGCCACCCAGGCCCTCGACGACATCGAGCAGGAAGCAGCCAGGACGAAAGCCAATGAAAGCACGCAGTTTATCCGTCCCAGGTTTCCCAGTCAGGATGAGGTGAGTGCGAGGGCTTCGACAGTATAGAGCATTTAAAAATAAGTTCCTCATCTCCCATAGATTCTTTCCCAAATGGGCCCGCCCATTCAGCCCTTTGCCACAAACCTGCCGGCCCTCGATGCCTTCTACATGATGTTCCCCGCTCTCGGCAGTCTGCTCCGCTGGGGCAGCGTTTTCCCCATGGGCTCGCTGCTAGGCGCTGTGCCTGATACTCTGCTCCAGCCCACGGGCGCTGCCTCCAAGGTGGTTCTCGTCCTGGCCGACGATGCTGCTGCCAAGACCAGGGTACCCCGACAGGATTCGCCACCGGCGCCCGCTAACCCCCTCGACTGGGCGGCCAATGTGGGTCAAATGATAACCAACATGCAGGCAAATCCGCTGCTACCAACACCGTCCTTTGACGCCACCCTAGGCGCCCCGCTACAGAATCTGCTGCCACTGAATGGCTTGCCCGGTTTGGGATTGCTCGGCCAGGCAGCTCCCGCTCCAGCGGCTCCTGCAGATCCTCCAGCAACACCTGCACCTGTTGAGGATACCCCAGCTCGTGCTGCAGCTCCTCCCGCATTCCCGGGATTGCCTAACTTGCCTAGCTTTGATCCAGCTGTTGTGGGACAAAGCATAACCTCCATGCTGAGTCAGGCACCGCCCAACTTGCTGTCCCAATTGCCCCCGATGCCGCAAATTCCGCAGCTCCAACAGTTCGCTCAGTTCTTGCCACAGATCCCCGGACTCTCCCAAGCTCCAGTCGGTCAGGCCTCTGACATTTCCGAGGTGCGAGTGCGACCAGAGATTCCCTATGTTACGGGAACACCTCAGATGAAGATCAAGACAGCCCTGGAGAAGGAGCAGGAGAGCAGACGGGAACAGGAACTCTACCAGGAGCAGAACCAAGAGAGAGTGCCTCTATTGTGGTTCCGTTTGCCTGTCGGACAGGGCAGGGACACCCAGGGCAAGCCCATCGAGGATCTTCGAGTGGAAGCTAAGCTGAAGGCCTTCGAGCGCCAGGTGATTACTGAGCTAAAGATGCTCCAGCAGATCGAGCGCATGGCCAAGGAGATGAGGACTAGTGCTACCACCGGCGCCGCCGCCCAGTCATCAGACTACCGGGTCAACTATCCACTGAACCATACTCCCGTCCACAAGATCACCCGGGCGGACATCGAACAGGCCCTCCGTGACGACTACGTCCGGCGACTGGTGCAGAAGGAGGCGCAGCGGCGTGGCTTCATCAACCGCAAGACCGGCGGTTTCAAGCGCCAGACATTCACCGAGGATAAGAACCTTTCTAAGGAGGATATTGTCCAGATCATGGCCTACGCCTACCGAATGGCCAACGAGCAGATGGCGGAGGCGGAGAAGAGCAAGCAGGACAAGGTATACGCCGCCTACAGGTCCCCAGCAGAGCGTCAGTGGTCGGAGGATCAGGCCAAGAATCAGCCGATTCAACAGCAGAGGCAGATGATCCAGCAGAATCCCATGATGATGCCACAACAGAGGCAGATGGGGGAGATCCCCCAAGCGCCTTCTATTCTGGGGGAGCAGCAAAGGCAGTGGAGCGAAAGGCAGGCCAACCAGCAGATGATCCAGCAGAATCAGATGATCCAGAAGAGTCCCATGATGATGCAGCAGAGGCAGTGGACAGAGGAGCAGGCTAAGCAACAGGCCATCCAACAGAATACCATGATGATGCAGCAGCAGAGGCAGTGGACCGAAGAGCAGGCCAAGATCCAGCAGGAGAGACAGTGGACGGAGGATCAAGCTAAGCAACAGGCCATCCTGCAGAATCCCGCCATGATGCAGCAGAGGCAGTGGACGGAGGATCATGCAAAGCAACAGCAGGAGGCTATGATGCAGCAACAGAGGCAGTGGACAGAGGAGCAGGCTAGGCAACAGACGATTCCTCATCAGCAGGCTGCTATCCAGCAGGGCCCCATGATGATGCAGCGGCAATGGACAGAAGAGGAAGCCAAGACTCTCCAGGATCAGCAAACATTGCAGCAGCGCCAGATGAGCGATGAACGACAATGGGCGGATGAGAAGGCCAAGGCGCAGCAGCAGCAGGCGATCCAGATGGGCCAGGCTCCTATCCAGATGGACCAGGGTCCTATCCTGCAACAGATGCATCAGCCCATGATGCAGCAGCGCATGGAACAGCTTCTCACTCACAACCCACCCACGAACATTGGCCACCCGGAAGAAGACGACGAAGACGCAACCATGCTGGGCGAGGCGGGTCCCCAGATGCCGGAGAACGAGGGAACGGCCCGGCATAAAGGTAACCTTTTCGGCGTCTTCCGCAGCCGTAATCCCAACTCTGAACTTTCGCCCGCAGTGGACCCCCTGGGACTCGGTGGAAACAAGCGCAAGAAGTCCAAGTCGCGGCGTCCCGCAGTCGTCAACTACTACTACCCAGCCCCGCAGCCCCAGTACCAGGTGCCCCAGTACCAAGTGCCCCAGTACCAGGTGCCTCAATATCAGGCTCCCAGTTACGGCACATCCTATGGCGGCGGTGGTTACGGATCCAATGCCTATGGAAGTGGAGGCTACGCCGCCAATTCCTACCAACGGGCGGCCGTGGGCAATGACGAGGTGGACGACATGCTCCGCCGACACCAGACCTTGGCCAGGGTAAGTGTCTTCCAAATCATAGTCTCTTAGACAACCACAACACCACCACATTGAGCACCACACGGCACACATCCCACATCACACAGTAGACTGTTGCTACCATTGATCCATTTCATGTACCCTTTCATCTTTTCCCACGACATTAAACAGGCGACGCATTTCAGACAATAGCCACAGCCAGTCAGGAGGAGAAGGAGCAGGAGCAGGAGCAGAAGACGACCACCACTAGTAGCACAACCACATCCACGACGACGACAGTAGCCCCACCGCCTTTGGAGGAGCAGCCTCTGTCGGAGCAACGAATCCACAAAAGGTTAGCCACTTTCCACAGGTTAAGAGGTAGCAACGCCACTCCCAAGGGATGCGGCTGTGGTAGGTTGGACTGTCTGTGCGGGAGGAGTTGTCAGTGCGGAGCCCGTGCACCCACAGTCTCGGCTGCTGGCTGCCAGTGCAGGGCCGGTAGCCGAAGGAGTCGCCGGAGCGCCGAATACGGTACTCTGGAGACCATCGATGAGGGATCCCTCAACGAGCTGCGCCGGGAGTACAAGATGGGCCTCAAGGAGATCACTCTGAGTCCCGACGAGGATCCGGCCGAGGCCCTGATGCGCTACAATGCGGCCTCCATTCGGGAGGCATTGGAACGGGCCAGCCAGGTGCCGTTGGAGATTGGAGGCGATGAGTACGCCGATGGAATGACGCAGGAGCATCAGCCTGAGGTTGCCGGTGAGCCCGTTCAGGAGGAAGAGCAGCAGTATCAAGCACAGTACAACCATCAGGATTTCGTCAGGCTGACAACTGCTGCTCCAGAAACCACAACGGAGGCTCCAGCCACCACCACTGAGTCTACAGCTCCGGCTGAGAGCACCACCAATGCCCCTGTGGCGCCGGAGGAGCAGGAAATGCAGCAGGATTCACCTGTCGCAGGCTTCGAACCCACTAACACGATGACCAAGGACGAGGAAATCCACAGCCTGCACGAGGTAGTTCTCAACCTTAAGCAGGAGTTCATCCGGCTGAGGGACCGGTGTCAACTTAAATCCAATCTGGCGGTCGATGATGAGGAAAAAAAGCCATCAAAGGAGTTGGAGGAGGAAAAGACAAAGGAAGAGGCAGCCAAGAAGGAGGAAAAACAGGAGGAGGAAGCAAAGAACGAAGTAACCCCACCCGAACCCGAGACAGAGTCGGAAACAGAACCGGATTCGGAGCCGGAGGAACAAGAAGAGTCCACAAGAGCTGAAACTGATACTCAAACCCCTTCACCAAAACCCTCCCAGCAGGCCAACGCCATTGCCAAAGTGGATGAGAAGAAGGGCACCGCCGAAGCTGTAGCTTCTGCCTCCTCCGCCAGTGCCTCGTCTGTCGCACCCAACCAAGTGGAGAGCTATCTGGAGGAAAACAACTGGCAGCGGATCCTGGCCAACCGAGGCTACGACACCGAGTACCTAACAAAAGATCTGGAGGTGGCCAAGGGCCCCACCTACGAGGAGTACTCGCCCTACACGGATTTCCAGGCGGACGAGGCCACCCATCCCACCGATGCCGATCCCAGCAAGGCCAAGAGGAACGCTGCCCTGGACGGTAAGCAGCAGGCTCAGCTCCTTAATGCGGCGCTGAACAGCCAAAAGAGTGATCCCAGCGCCGAAGTCTCCACCACACCTACGCCATACGCCATGAGGGGAAAGTTTGTGCGCCGAAGGAGCACCAGGAGGAGCCACCAAGTCCAGCCCAGCGACGAGGGCTGGACGCGCTCTACTCGCCAGGCAAGGCAACCGCCACTTGTACACTCCAAGAAAGTAGTGGCTCCCAAGAAGAAGGTCAGTTCCAAGGGGAAGGTGACTACCCGGGCTAGTGTGAGCACCACCAAGCTGGATCGTCTGGTGGATGTGCTCAACGAACTACTGCGCCTCCAGCTCCAAAGGGAGAGGAAGTCGCTTGCAGCAAGCCCAGTCCAGAGCAACAGCCTCTCGAGGGTCGCCAAGAGTCCCAGCAAAGTAATTAAGAGGAAGAGGCTGCGCCGAAAGCATCAGTCGGCGCCCAGTTCCGCTAGTGGCCTCGCTCGATCCTCCCCAGCACAGAACCCTAAAGCATAGACCTCAGCCACATCCATAGCCATAACCCTAACCCCAATCACTATTCATAATTGTAGCCTAGATTATCCTAGATTGTAAGCTTTGCACTTTCACTAATCACCGCAATCATTCCATTTGCATATCCACATCCGTCCACACCATCAGTCCATCATCAGCACCGCCATCTGACATCGCCGTAGCACCACCATCCGATCCCAATTCCGAGCCCGTGCTGGGCTCCGTATTCGAGTTCAACGAGGGACTGTTGCATCCGTTCATGGGCCTCCTGCCAGTGGAGCGACCCGACGATCCCTGGCGCCGGAAGCCCTACGATCCCCATCGCCCTCTCTACTCGGGGGGCGGAAGCTATGCCGCCTACTTGAAGGATGGCCGCCGGCGCAGGGACACCCACATCATGGGCCAGGCCACACCCGGACTCCTCACGCCCGGCATGCTGGAGCGTCTGCTGCGGATCAAGATGGAGTTCCAGCGCCGGTTTCCCCACCTCTACAAGGGTATGCTGAGTCACCACGCTAACCAGACCAGAGTGGAGGTGAAGCCTCCAGTTCTGGGCAGCCCGTCATCCCCCGAGAGCCTAACTAAAAAGATAGCGCCCAAGGAGGAGGAACCCATATTCGAGCTTGGAGCTGCCGAGCGCAACCTCTTCGAGGACGAGGAGTCAGATCCCCTGGAGGACGAGCCCGTCCCGGAGCCGGAGGACGAGGAGGAGAAGGAGGACAAGCAGGAGGAGCAGGAAAAGGAGCGGGACGACAACGATATTGATTACTTTAACTTCGGCAATGACGGTGATGACTATTAGACTTTTGTTAAAACCTCAATAAAAAATATATATTTTAAATTAAGTTATTAGTTATTTTTACATAAGATAGTAGATAGTATAACTATCCAATAGCCTCGTCAAGAAACCCTTGGGAATCCCTCGATAAGCAACCCTTGATGTGGACAAAATTAATGGCTGATTAACACTGATTGGAAGGCATTGCCAAGATTTCCTCTGGGAGTTCTGGGCGCGTGGCTTGAAGGAACCCTTCCACTGGTCACCACATTCTACTCTGAGCTCTCTTAGAATGCGGTACTGCCGGCATATACTCCTCTTCCACCTTCTGGTCACAACGGGCGCCTCATCCCCAACGGACGACATGGGACTGGCGGATGCTCTGGCCCAGGTTGTGGTGGATTCCGAGATGGGTCGCTTCAAGACCTTGTACGTTTACACCCAGGTGACTGCTCCGGCGGCGGGCTGGCACCTAGAGAAGCTACTAACCCAGATACTGGTGCGACTGCCCGCCACCTTGCTGGCTCGTCGGGTGTTCCATCGTCAGGCCATGGAATACAAGCCGTATGTGCACGGCGTCATGTTGCTGGTGGACGACTTGCCGGCGCTGGCGGCGATATACGGTGGCATTCGTGCCACCCAGGATCTATCGCACACTCTGGTCTACATGTCCCTGCCGACGGATCCGTTTGGCAAGGAGGTGGAGCTGGCTCTTCGGCTGCTTTGGCGCCTCAGTGTCCTGAACGTGGGCCTGATCTTGCGTCCTCCAGGAGGCAGCCAGTTCCTGATGGTCAGCTACTTTCCCTTCAGCGCTACACACGGCTGTCAGGTGATATCCGCTAGCGTGGTGAACCGTTTCCAGGTGGCTGAGGGCAGATGGTCGTCCGGGGATTACTTTCCCGTGAAGCTGGGAAACTTCCACGGCTGCCTTCTGACCTGCGCTACTTGGGAGGACATGCCGTACCTAGTCTGGAGGCCTTCGGAGCTCGGCTCTGGGCCAGAAGCTGTTCCAGGCTCCAGCTCCGGCTCCTTTGTGGGCATAGAGGGAGCCCTGCTTCAGTTCATGGCGGATAACTTGAACTTTAGCGTCGGCCTCTACTGGATGAACAAGGACGAGGTCCTGGCCACCTTCGACGAGTCGGGAAGCATCTTCGATGAGGTGAGTCTGGGCCACTTTGGAGTCGTGTTTTCAGCTTAATTCCTCCCTTTCAGATCTTTGGTCAGCACGCCGACTTCTCGCTGGGCGGCTTTCACTTCAAGCCCAGTGCCGGGGCGGAGATACCGTACTCCCAGTCCACGTACTACTTCATGAGCCACATCATGCTGGTGACCAATCTCCAGAGCGCCTACTCCGCCTACGAGAAGCTGGCCTTCCCCTTCAGCCCGCTGCTTTGGCGCGCGGTAGGCGTGGTCCTTATCCTAGCCAGCTTGCTCCTGATGGGGTGGCGGTGGTGCCGCCGAAGACAGCTCCCGGAGAACCCCTACTACCAGTTACTGGTGCTGACCATGGGAGGAAACCTGCCGGACAGACTGCTCCCGCGAAGAATGCCGGGGCGGGTGGTTCTGATCACCTGGCTCTTGGCCAGCCTGGTCCTGCGGAGCGGCTACCAGTCGGGCATGTACCAGCTGCTACGCCAGGACACCCAACGGAATCCGCCGCAGACGATAGCTGAGGTTCTGGCGCAGCGCTTTACCATCCAGCTGGCGGAGGTGAACGAGGCCCGCATCCTGGCCAGCCTGCCGGAGCTCCGTCCCGAGCAACTGGTGCACCTGGAGGGCAGTGAGCTGCAGTCGATGCCCGCGTTGGCCCGCCAGAGCGGCTCCTCCCAGCGGCTGGCCATCCTGACACCCTACGAATACTTTGGCTACTTTAGGAAGGTGCATCCTATGAGCCGGAGACTGCATCTGGTGCGGGAGCGCATCTACACCCAGCAGCTGGCCTTCTATGTACGCCGCCACTCCCACCTGGTCGGCGTTCTCAACAAGCAGATCCAGCACGCCCATGCCCACGGTTTCCTTGAGCACTGGACGCGTCAGTACGTCAGTGCCGTGGACGAGGCGGACGAAAGTGTGGCCAGGATCGCCTCCACCTCGTACAGCACTCTGGACGGCGACCCCAGGCTGTCGGAGGCAGAGGAGCAGCAGGTGGCACCCACCCGGAACAACGTCCTGTCCATGCGGGAGCTGGCAGCTCTCTTTTGGCTCATTCTCTGGGCGAATCTGGGGGCGACAGTAGTCTTTGTCCTGGAGGTCCTGACAGCTAAGGGATTTTTTAGTTCATTTCGAATATTTAAGATTAAAATTAATGTTTTTAAACATTTTTTAAGCAGCGAAGCAGGTTCTAAAAAGTAAGATATCGCTTTTCATTGTCCAGGTTCTAGCTTAAAAATAACTACATTTCTAATTAAATTTACTTGTCCTATATTTTTCTGGCAAAATGAATCAATTGTTTAATTTTTTGGTACTCGGCCTAAAGGACTAATCCGGGAAACAGAGGATAATGCTGATTACCAGGCCAGTGTTGTTGTCACGCATAAATAATTCCGGATTTATTTGCGGGCCAAGCGTTTTAATTAAATTACTTCATAATCCGCAGAGCCACTCCCCGGTCGGCCCACTTCCACTCGTCCCCGCTCCCACAGAGGACATCCAGCGCAGCTGGAGGATTCAAGGATTCAAGGATAGTTGGCCCAAAGTGTTCGCTGCTCGTATCGTAAAAACGAAAAACGTTTTATCTAAAAGCGATAAATTTTCAAAACCAAAACTTGCGCTGGTGAATCAACCCCCGCCGATCTGCCCCTGCCACTGCCACAGGCTATATAGTTGCCCCCTCACCAAACACCACCCTCCCACACCACACACCACACAGCACCTCCCGTCCCTTCCCCAGTCGCCACACATAGACATCAATTTTGTGTGTGCTTCTTGCTGGCAATCCTGGCAACATTTGCGGCTGCCGTTGTCGCCATCGACTGGTTACATGTAAGTGGTGCTGCCATTGCCTGTGGATCCCATAGCCGCCACTACTAGATTCCCTCCAGGACCTCCTAGACCTTCTACCCGCTCAGTCCCTTCCCAGCCCCTTGCAAGCCAAGCCCTGTTGCAATCTCTTGCTGCTTTGCTTATCGCCTCGCACATTTGAGCTTTTTGAATTTCTTGCCACAAAAACTGTCTGTAATGGGCACAACGTTGCCGGGCTTCTTCGATATACACAGAGAGAAAAGCTAGTAGCTATTTGTTTAAAAAAAACTTAAAGTTAAGGAAACCAAGGGAAACCAGAGCCTGACCCATAAGCTCAGGCTTAAAAAGAAAAGATGTATCTGTTCGTAGCCCTAGTTCCTCACTGTGCACGATACCCTCACCCAGACCATCAGGCCTCCCACTCTCATCCTTGGGAGCCAAGTAGTCAACGACATCGTCTTCGTCCTTGTCGTCCTTGCTGGAAATTCAAGTAAATGTATTGAACTTAAGCTCATTGCCTGCTATGTCGTTTTCGTCGCAACGTCTGAGGCGATACAGCCCAAGCCCCCCCTCATTTGCCACACGCCCCGTCACTGCCTCGCCCTTCCCCCATTCCCAGCCCCATGAAAAAATAGGAAGAAGGAAACTTTATGCAATTCCTTTTATAAAATGTTTCCTATTTTTGGTTTTTACTCATCATTCACCCTAAAGATGATTGGCTCAAGCTCAAAGATGTATTAATGTGAGCCGTAAAAGCATAGGATTTATTTTAGATATTTTTATGTACATTTTTAGGTGTTAGATATATTTTTAAAGAATTTATTCGTAGTCCTTAAACCTTTTCCTGGGGGAAACTCACTTTAAATTTTGGCCATTTACAAATGATTTTCGGCTTGCAGTTTCGCCGAAAGGACTTCAATTGTAGCTCAACTTTCAGATCCGTTACCAAGCCAGTCCGGACTCTGGACTACTCTCGGCAATTGCCAGTGCCACAGGACCATTCCATCGCGGATCCCCATCCTCGTTCTCATCCAGAAACCCATGCTCATCCGCAGCAATACTTTGGCTCGTTTGGCAATGAATTTTTATGGCGCGACTTTTACGTCAGCATCCACAAGCCAGTGGCGTTGGAAAAAAGGGGGGGCTAGAGGACGGGGGATGGGGCCCTAGCCAGTCTGAGTCCGATGAAGCGGAACTCTTCAAGGCTCTTTGCTCTAAACAAACATATTCGCGACAAGATTCAAAAAAACCAGCACGACTAAAGGGATTCGGAGGGACTGATACTTAAAAGAGGCGGTGCTCTGGGGGTGGGCGTGGCAATGGTATAGAAATTGTCATCCTAATGGGTGTCTGACTGCAGCAACTGCCAATTTCCGGCCGCGAAATTACGTCTAATTAGCTAATCAACACAATTATGGTGCAACCTGGTGCCACGCAGGATAAAACAGGACACCCACATATAACAGGCTTTCTGTGGGCAGAGGCGTCCTCTCGAAAGGGTAAGCGTACACTGTGACAAACTCTTAAGGTGCTAGTATAATGCCCAAGTAATCTTATTGAGAAAATACCTTTCTAGTTGAGATGAGATTTGGCAAAAATATATACGGCCATTACGGATATTCTGGAAAATCCAGAAATCCCTAGGAAAAATTGGAAAAAATTGAAAAAATATTTCGTAGTCCGATTTTGATGCAGATTGACGGAGAATCTATCTAGAAATCGTTTAAGGTGTTCCGCGTGAGAATCTGATAAGTATTGGCCAAGATATAGACATGGTACTGGGCCATATACGAAAATCCGCGTTTTTACAGGGGTACCATAAGGAAAAATTGGAAAAAAATTGAAAAAATATTTCGTAGTCAGATTTTGATGCAGATTGACGGAGAATCGATCTAGAAATCGTTTAAGGTATTCCGCGTGAGAATCCGATAAGTATTGGCCAAGATATAGACATGGTACTGGGCCATATACAAAAATCCGCGTTTTTACAGGGGTACCATAAGGAAAAATTGGAAAAAAATTGAAAAAATATTTCGTAGTCAGATTTTGATGCAGATTGACGGCGAATCGATCTACAAATCGTTTAAGGTATTCTGCGTGAGAATCTGATAAGAATTGGCCAAGATATAGATATGGTACTGGGCCATATACGAAAATCCGCTATTTTACAGGGCTTCCCCTAGGAAAAATTGGAAAAAAATTGAAAAAATATTTCGTAGTCAGATTTTGATGCAGATTGACGGAGAATCAATCTAAAAATCGTTTAAGGTATTCCGCGTGAGAATCTGATAAGTATTGGCCAAGATATAGATATGGTACTGAGCCATATACGAAAATCCGCGATTTTACACGGGTACCCCTTGGAAAAATTGGAAAAAAATTGAAAAAATATTTCGTAGTAAGATTTTGATGCAGATTGACGGAGAATCGATCTAGAAATCGTTTAAGGTATTCCGCGTGAGAATCTGATAAGTATTGGCCAAGATATAGACATGGTACTGGGCCATATACGAAAATCCGCGTTTTTACAGGGGTACCATAAGGAAAAATTGGAAAAAAATTGAAAAAATATTTCGTAGTCAGATTTTGATGCAGATTGACGGCGAATCGATCTACAAATCGTTTAAGGTATTCCGCGTGAGAATCTGATAAGAATTGGCCAAGATATAGATATGGTACTGGGCCTTATACAAAAATCCGCGATTTTACACGGGTACCCCTAGGAAAAATTGGAAAAAAACTGAAAAAATATTTCGTAGTCAGATTTTGATGCAAATTGACGGAGAATCGATCTAGAAATCGTTTAAGGTATTCCGCGTGAGAATCTGATAAGAATTGGCCAAGATATAGATATGGTACTGGGCCATATACGAAAATCCGCGATTTTACAGGGGTACCCCTAGGAAAAATTGGAAATTTTCTATAATTATTTTTACATTTTAAGATACTACATTAAAAGGTATGATAATTTCTCTGACTGTATTCCCCTTTAATGGCGGCCCTGTCTTTGCTGAGCTTTGCGTTTGCATTGCAACGGAAGCTGGCCAGACAGACAGAACAGAACGGCACCGTCGCCATCGATGGACGCGGTTTGGACCAGAGTTGGGGCCCGCTGGACCCCTTTGGATTCCCGCTCAAATGCCACATCAACACCCCTGCCCTGGCTTTAGAAAGAAACCACAATGTGGCAAATGCTGGCCACGCAATGAGTCCCTGGCCTCATTACCGATAGTTGAGGTGCCAAGTGGAATCCCCGAAGTGTGTGGGAGTCTTAAATTGAGCTGATCGTGATGCACTAAAAGGAATCAGGAGGGTGGCTATAAAACTCCAGAGTACGCGGATTGAGAGCCCATATCCCAATTATTTTGATATCAACACTGTTTGTATCAGTTTTCCGAACATTATAACCTGATTAAAGTCCTGGTTTTAATCTTAAACTTAATGAAGGGTCCTTTGGCTTGTTACTTTTTATATTTAACCCGATCCGTGGTTGGGTTCATTGATCCCAACTCGGGTTGCTGCCCATGTGGTCTCCACTCAATTATCCGCCATACATTCGTTAGCTCATTAAGGTTCCCTGGCTCACCACGAGCTCCTGTCTCCAGTGTTCAGTGTCCTGTGTATCCTGGGTCTCCAGTTGCTGCTTTTGCTTTCCTTTCACTCCTCCCGACCCTGCCTGGCCGGCCGCCCATCGTCCATCGTCCATAGTTAATATCCTGTGTCAACTGTTGTCCATTCAATTTGCATTTTTGCAATTATTTCAATTAAATCGACAAAAGGAAAGCGTCTGCTCCCCGCAAGGAAAGGCAAGGCATTCGGTAAATGAGTCGATGATTGCGGGGGCGAAAGGGTTGCGGCCCAGGAGGGCGCCGGACCAGCTCCTGGCGGAGAATATAATTTCCTCGCGCCGGATGCGACAATGAATACGCATTAATAAGTGCATACAAACAGACAGGCGGACTTATTATTAAAAAGCTACAGTTGTCTCCTTTGAAAAAGTTTCTTAGCCACAATAACCTCTTCCAAAAGTATGTATATTTCTCTAATTTGTAGACTCATTTATAATATTGTTTGTTAATTTCATAGACTTTAGAAATCTCTCTTGGCCAGGCCACACTGTATCCGTGGCAATATGCTTCGCTGTGATCCGTAAACCAAGTGGGATGATGGATATGTTTACGATTTTTAAACTACCACGGGTCGAGCTGTGTTCCTTTGTTGCCGCACTGCGTGCCTTCCGGTGAGTAAATTGATACGCCGACCCCCCCTCCTCGGGAGCCTGGCTCCGGTGCCCCCGCCCACGGACGCTCATGAATGGCTGGCTAATTTTGTGGAGCGGTCCCCTGGCGGGCGGCTTCCTTTTAACAATATTAATATGCAAAATAAAATAAATGCAGGCGACGGCGACAAATGAAGGATAAGCCGGAGACAAAGCGCGGGAAGCCTGCGAAAAAAAAGTGCGAGGAATACAAATAAAGGAATAATAAAGGAATGAAGCCGGCACACACCCAGCGAGATTGTCAGCGAGAAATTGGATTTACTGGGCCACGTCCCTCCTCCCTCCTTCCTCGGCCACCGACAACCGCTCCCATATTCAGAGGTCCTTCCTGTCGTCTCGCGGTCCTGTGGTCGTATACGTAATATGATTATTACATGCCGCCTTCTGCCTCCTGCCTCGTGCCTCCTGCCTCCTGCCTGTCGCATGGCGCAGTCAGTGCGTGCCGCAAAGAGATGAAATTATATGATTTGAATAATAATTGAATTAGAAAATCATAGACGCACACATAGTTCCGGAAAATATGAACACACGGCTTGCATTTTAAATTCAAATACACAATCAATCTCAGCCTCCACTGCAAGTGCATGTTTAGATGAGAATTTAAAAAATTCCTCCCTTCGCGCCAAGCATCTAAAAGTCGTGGATAGTGTGACCCTCGCGGCACTTTCTAGCACTCTCACTCTTACTCACTCCCACTTAATCCTTTCGCCTTGCGATCTTTTCCCCACTTCCTGTTAGTCCTGCCATCCCTTTTGTGCGCGATCCCGTGCTCACTCTTACTCACTCTCACTTATGCCTTTAGCCTTTGAGATAATTTGCTCCACTTTCCTTTAGTCCTGTCATCCTTTTCTATACGCGAGTCGGTGCTTCTGTGTTCGGTTGTGTGGTTGACTTTAAGGTGTTTAAAATATAGTTTTTAGTGGATTATTAGCTTAAATAAAGTGTGGGATGTTAAGATTATGCTTAATATGACCCTAATAACGCTAGGTATTGAATTCAACTCTTGAAATATCACCAAACTCGTGGTTGGAGCTCGATTTCAAATGTGCGTATGAGTTGGAGTATGTGCAGGGGACGCGGAGAGTCCCCGGAGATCGCGAAGAGTCCCACATTAAAGTACAGTTAGCCAGGAGGAGCATAAGAAAATGAAGAATTGACGAAAGAATGTGAAAATATATGGAAGAAATCTACAGAAGAATAGTTATAGGTAAGTGGAGTTACTATTTTTATGTAATCGCTAATTACTATATATTATGATCGCTATCTTAAGTCCCTCAGTCCCTATTTTTTATTATTATGGATTTCCAGGACTTCTTTTAACTCGACTTTAAATATAGTTTCTTGGGCTTTAAGTTTCAAAGAATTCACAAAACTTAAACAGTTCCCATATGGAATATTCTAAGTTTTAAGACTATTTTATTAGTCACTAACTAGTGATAGAAGAACATTTTTTACCACAAATTCCGCTCCTTTTCGGGAGCCACTGTGCCCTCGACTTCCATCACCAACTTGGTCTAATGCCCCCCGATATTTGTCGCCTTCGGATGGTTAACAAGTTTCTGCAAACAGCGACAGACATCATTACTTACCACCCACTTATCCCCGCCTGGCTCGAACTCCAGCTTCGTCCTGCAACGTCCCTGCACTCCCACAAAATTCCTGTAATCATGTGAATCCGCTTAAACTGTCGAAGTGTATTGTGCGTCATTATTCTCTTTCGTGCCATTAGACTTCAATAGTTTTTCCATACTAAAAAGTTAAAACGAGCATTTGCGAGAAGAAAAAAAAAATTATAAAAACAGACGAGCTAAGAAAACGACGGAGGCAAATCGCATTGTCGTCTTAGTCTGCACTGAGAACACTAGTACTCGGTACTAAAACAGTTTCTAGACTGTAAAATAAAATTTATAAAATCATATAGATGTGGTTCGGCTTTCAGTGTATGGGCCAAGAGTTTGCCTTGCATTTTGCCAGGCTGTGTGATGTCCTTAAAGGACAATGACGACACTCGACTGCGTTTCCACTTGAGAGCCAGCATCTATACTTTGCACTTGCGATTCCCCCAAACCCATTTTTTGTCATCTTGATCGGGCGATGGCGATGCTGGCCAGCTTTTCATTGTTAAACTCTCAGTTTTCAATTTGTTTGGGTTTTTATTTCATTTTTGCCTACAATTGCGGCCAATTTGGCTTAATTGTTTTTATTAAGAGTCCGGCTCCGCTGTCGACCGTGTACAATGCGAATAAATAAATCACTTGAGCCTCGTGTCTCCCTCTGTTGCCTCTGTCCCCCGCCTGGAAAATGGAAAATTGCATTTAAATGCAATACAAAAATGCAAAAATACAAATTGAAAACTGGCATAATACAATATGCAGCGTACTTTTGCTTTGCTTTTCGCAAAACGTGCCTCATTATGGAGATCAATGACATGTCCCGGCCACGTAATTTGAATGTAAATTGTTGCTCTTTTTGCCTTTGTTTCTGAACTGAGGGATTAACGAGTATCGATTATATTTCATCTCATTTATTTATATTTCTAATAATTCAACTATACAGATACATTAACATTGAGTGTGTGTGTGTGTGTATTTTTCTAAATGCAACTACCACGCACATTTTGGAAGGAACATTGTGGTCTTCTGAGAACCCTTTCTGAGAGTGTTTGCGCGATGATCATCCTTCTTTTGGAGATCCTGATAAAACCAAGAATAGCTGCGGGGAAATAGCAATTAGTTTGGGGACTATGAAAGGATTCATGTGAGATACTAACCCTGTTGAAGGCAAAGAACGAGGTCTTTCAAATAGGTATACATGCCCCCCTTGAGGGGAAAAAAGATTTCCTGTAAATATTGAAAATTTAAGAAAGAGTTAATAGGATTTAATATATAGTATTTTGATATTTCATTTACCTCCATCGAAGATTGTTTAAACATAGACAATAGTTACATCGGGAGAAACATTTAAATTATCTGCAACTATTGATAGGATTTAATTTTGGAGCCTTGAAGCTAATAGAGACGTTCTTACCAAGATTATATTTAAGTGTAATTTGGCCATTGTACTTCCATATTTACGCTAGCCGTTCTTGTATTTTGATCGTACATCCTTGTGTAATTCAATTGTGTGTAGGTTAGATGTGTTTCGATTGAGGGGTCTTCCAATCCCAAAGTGTTTCAAGAAAAGCAACGCTTTTCCCATTTAACAATTTTGTATCCAGTTACCAGTTGCACCGGTGCCTAAAACCGGTGGCGCGTGTATTCGTATGTATTGAGAGAACCATTTTTGTAATAATCGTTATTCCATAATCGTTAGTATTAATATTAATTGAATAATTTTTCGGCTGTAAATTGAAATTAAGCTATATATTCTTCTATTCCCTGATATAGGGTAAGAGCCTACTTACCCAGATCCCGAAATAGTTAAAGACCTCGTTACATTTGCGAAACAGCCTATTCTACAGGTAATATCCTAGCGCAAAATTGTCATAAACCTATTTTAAAAAATTTTCAAATTAATATATTTACCAAAAAAAAAATAATTATAAAAATTTCACATATTTTTGCTTACTTACATATAAAATGTTAGAAATCTTGGTGTAAATTTTAATTTTCACATTTTAATTTTGTTTTATTTGAAAGCCGAAATATTCAGGAGCTGTTGCCTCTTGGGAGCCGAGACCGAGACTGATTTTGTGTGAGGTCAGGGGACCCTTAGGTGTGTTTCAAACGCAACTAAAATTTTCATGGCCTACCAAAAACCAAAAACTTGGTTAAAATTATAGAGTTTCCTCCGAATAAGAGGCAACTCTTACCTCAAAAATATGTATAGATGTGAACTAATAGAACTGGTTCTTAGATGGTTTTGGTGATCAACTTTTTATTAAAGAAATATATTATCTTTGTAGAGTTTTTGGAAGGATTGATTCTATATATTTATAAACTTGAACCTTCAACAAATGAGGACGCTATGGCGTATTTCCATTTTCCATTCTTATCAAAAAATACAAAGCATTCTCCCTATTAATAAACACAACTCCCAAGACATATTTTGTACACAATCTAGAATGTTTTGAATTCCCGTCATTACTACCGTCGGCATTCGATAAAATTTGTACATTCTATTATGTTCAGGTTTTGATTTCGGAAACCTCTATATAATATTGAGCAAAATTTTTCATAAACAAATTAGACACACACAGACAACAGTTGCGACAGGATAATCAGCCATGGCCCGTCATCTAGCGCAGATCATAGTTCTGGGCGCCCAAATGGTCGGTCGGGCCTTAGTGAAGACCCTGAAGCAGGAGATGGAGGCCTCTCGGGAGGCGGCCCGCATGCACCAGGCCTTGAGGACGAATAAAAGCGATCCCAACGATGTCCCCGTTAAGGGCATGACCCTAATGGAGGCCCAGCAAATTCTGAATGTCAAGGGCCTGGAGGACCGTCAAGAGATCGATTCGCACTACAGGCATCTGTTCGGGGCCAACGAAAAGCCGGCAGGCGGATCCTTTTACATACAGTCGAAGGTTTATCGGGCCAAGGAGCGCATCGACCAGGAACTAACCAAGCAGTCCCAGTCTAAGGATAAACGGGCCAAACAGGGCCAACAGGCCCATCCGGATAGCGCATCCGGGGCCCAGGCCGACGAGTCGGGCCAAAACAAAAGCCGGTGACCATTCCCGGCTGAATCCTACCGGCCTGGCTCGATGGTGGCGTGCAGTGGATCCTGTCCCGTTGTGTTCACTCCAAAAACCATTTCGAATTGCTAGTCCAAGTGTCCCCTCATTAAATTGTCGAAAGCCTATCTTGAAAGTCCATAATGCATAACGCGATAAAAAGAAATAAATGTTTCAAATTGTAGCCCAGGCGTTTAATTATTTGTGGCTAGTGGGGTTAACTGTATCATCCCCCTCTTTTATCTTAAACTTGGGCTTCAGGACACTTTTCTTGCACATCCTTGCACACACTGGTGACACCAGTGACCCATTATTCCAAAAGGAATAAAATCAAAACGTTTCCTCGCCCAGTTTCCCAGCCATCCAGCTTCCGTTTCCGGTCTGGAGGCGTTTTCGGCACATACATACATACATGAGTTGGTGTGTGGCCGAGTGTGAGTTGGTGTGTGTGTGTGGGAGCGTGTGTGAAGCTCATAAACAAATTATACGCAAATTGACAGACATCCGGCCTTGCGAGAATCGGGCATCAGGCACCAGGCAGTTTAGGTTTCACAGTTGAAGTCTCCAGGTTTAGGTTTCGGTTGCTACATTTCCACATTTTCCTCCTCCGCTCGCCTTTCACTTTTCCGGGCACGTAGCCCTGTGCCAGAGTGTGTCCTTTAAGGTCCTGTGACCAAAATAATAAACTCAGGAGAGAGTTTATAATTCATTTATTGTTTCATTGCGAGTCCTTCTTTCATAGCTTTCAATCAAAAATCAAAGGATCAACCGTAAAGGATACTCTACTATTATGGGCACAACTGTACTTGTGGGGATGGCCTTAAATTAACATAATTACTTTAATGACTTGTTGCCCTGTCCTCTCAGTGTCCAGCCATCAAAATGTCGGGCACATTGTTGCCAAAAAGGACCTCCCATCCTTTCGACAATCATTTTCGGCTGCTGGCCGCAAATGCACAACAATCGCAGTCGCAATTTCAGTTTTGGGGTATCTGGCTTTGGGGCTTGCGGGCTTCTGGCCATTTGCCGTTAAAATTCACAAACTGTAATTGATCGCATTTGCGTTTGTCGTTTGATTTCATTTTCTTGTGCGTGAGTTCAAGTCCAAGTTCCGCCCCCCAGTCTCCAGCCTCCTCCAGTTCCCACTCCCAAGCTCTTCCCAGCTGCCCCCTGCCACACCCTCTTTTCCAATTCAACAGCCACAGTTGTTGTTGCTGTTGGCCAGGGTTCATTCATTATGCAAACACCTCCACATGGAGGTCTATCTAAACGTGGCCATGTCCAAAGCGACATGTACGATGCACTCAAAGAAAATATTAGGCATATTCTAAGAGCTCTTTGGTGGTTTAAAGCTATAAGAGTTTTTAGTTTCAGGTTTTATTTAAATTTTAAAGAGGGCCCTTTTAGGTTCTACCAGGTGGCTTTGTCTAGACCACTTTCTCTTAAATCCCCTTAGAGACTTGTCCCCCCGACTTGTCAGGTATTTAATATACCTACAACTAATTTTTCCCAGTGCCCTGGACTGCTGCAACTGCCTTTTGCGATTAGTTGCCATTTAAACTGCTGTTACCGCCCCGAATCCTTGTCCGATTCCCATTCTCAGTTCCATTTTGATTCCGATTCGTTTGGGGTTTTTTCTTGGTTTAGGTGAAGGGGTTTTCCAGGGGGCCTCCCGGAGGGGGTACTGGGTATTTGGTGCTCTTTCTGAGGGGGGGTAGAGGATGCTTTTTTTTTTTTTGGGGCCAGCTCCCAGCTCCATCCGCTCGTCAGTTGTGTGTCCGATGGCTGGCCGCCATAGCATTTTGATTTCCGCACTGCATCCGGCAGTTTTAATCCCCAGACAGCAGCCTAGTTGTCCACTAACTCTCAGTTCCTTCCTTGATAGTGAAGATCCTTTATCCCTGGACATGTACATTATCAAATGTTGGCCCTCAAAAAAATTATTTGGAAAAATATAAAGTGGTTTTCGATTGGAGAGATGAGTTTCTTTCTTATTTAAAGGTTATTTAAAAAGGAATTATTTTTAAACAGTTTACAGATGCTTAAAAATTTATAAAATATATTCAAAAATTATATGTTCTGTTTCAGATTTATTAAAAATATATTTCTATATCCTTTGTGATCCAATAGCTAATGTCCTTGGTGCTTTGTTAGGGAAGTTTCACAACCAAAGCGAGGGAGTCGCACAAAATGCGAACAGTTCACTATTTACCACACGCAACGTGGCAGGGGCGGTGGGCTTAAGCGGGCAAGGGGCTGGAGGCGGGAGGCGGGAGCTCTTCACCGCCTCCCCCCCTTCAGTGATGCATGGCCGTGGCCATGGCGCTGAAAATGTTCAGGTCGCTCGGTCAGCGAGCCTACTGTACAGTGCGACTAGTGTCCTGTGTCCCAAAGTCCGACTGTCCAGTGTCCAGTGTCGCATTCATTGCCATTCATTCGCTGCTGCCGTTCGTGGTTGCCCCACAAGCGAAATCAAGTGCACTGCCAGAAGCAGGGGGCCACTGGACATATAGAAGATGTATCTCTTAGATATCTTAAGTCTGAGATATAATTCTTTAAACTTGTATCTTGATCCTATTTCTTCATGCGACTAAGTGCCCCGACCATCAGGACTTAGTCTTTCCATCTCAGACATCCTTTACCTTTTCAGTTGAATACAAATACCTCGTATGTTTTTCTCTCAGTGTCTTTGGCTATTGCCAGTATGGTGTTGCTGTTGTTGCTTGCGGCTAACATGCAAGCTTAGGATTTGGAAAACAATTTCACTGTTAGTGGAATGTCAACGTCAGGTCTCGCTCTGCCAGTGGTTGAGACCCATCCAGCAGCTATACCCCGGCCCGGGGCCATCCTCCTGGACACCCCCACCTATCCCCGGGGCAACCCTTTTGTGCCACCCACCCACATCCGTGCCCCATCCGCCCCGATTTGATGGTTAGAAATTTCAGGCGCGATGCGTCGCACACATCACTAATTAGTGATGTGCAATAATCGTGCCAGTGCCTCCAAAGGGGGCCCGAAGAGGGGGGCTGGCCTGATGGCCTGGCCGAAAGGGCCTCTCGCATGGCCCGGGGCCGGAGTGATTTCGACGTGGGCTCGGTCCAAAAATTGCGACATTGTTAATCAACTGTGCGTGTCGCATAAGTTGCATTTGCTTTCGGACTGGATTGCCTGCGATTGCATCCAGTGGCGTGGCACTAGAGGGGTTTCAGGGGGGTTCCAGGGGGGTTTCAGAGGGGTGGACTGGAGCAGGATTGGTTGCTGGGCTGGGTGATTGGTTTCCATGCTCCAGAGCACTACGGGACGGGGGGTTGGGCCTCATCTAAGTAAGTGGAAAATTGCTGTGGGCCATCAAATAATGATGTTCATCGGGCCAATTTCCTCTCGAAAGGCCAGTGGTTCAAGGTCACTAATAGAGGGTTTAAATGCCTTATTTAATGGTTTAGTTCTGCTCCTTTTGGAGTTCATTTTTTTCAACTTGTGAGTTCTTAAAACAAACCCCCAATGTTATCCCCTTCTTTGGGCTTCCCTCTAAACTTTTGCCCTGAACTTTCCTGGAAAAACAGCGAAAAGAAAATGCAATCCACTGCAAGAGGAAAATCTGCTCAGAGTTCAGAGTTCAGCTGATGATATGGTTGCATTAAATTGACCAGAAAAAAGGGAAAATAAAGCAAACGGGCTGCGGGGTCAGCCTAATTGAAATTTCATGTCCGAAAAGTGGTAGATGTTGCCGAAGAGGGCGGTGGGTGCTGGGCGGCAGTGGGCGTGGGACTCTTCTCCCTCGGATTTGTAATCAGAGGAAACAGAAGAAAGCGCGCCAATCAGGGTGGCCACTTAAACACAAAATCCAACTCAATACAGAAAAGTGGCCTTCAAAGTGTACAATTTTTCACAAAACTCAGTAGCCCAGCATGTGATTTGTAGACGGTATTTTCGATTCTCGGGATCCAAGTAGTCGGTGCTCATAAGTTCAGCAGTTAGATGTGAGTTCAGTGGCATTACAATTCAATCTTGTGAAGAACTTAGTTCGATCTACTGTCCGTTCGGCTAAATTCGAGTTTTTCGCTTTTCTAGCAACAGAAAAAATAAGTGAAAGTGAGAGACAGACCGAAAAGTGTGGGGCGAGGAGAGAGGTAAGAAGGAGAAGAAGATACTTCGGAGCAGATATGGCCCAAATGGAGTACAATCGACGTGATCCACGCATGGGATTCGGCGGCGGGGATGCCGACAACAGCCTGATCCGGCGCCACCGCAACGAGCCGGCGCCGCAACTATTTGATCCTGATTACGTGGTGGAAGAGGAGGTGGCCCATCACGTCCAGCCCAGGGGGGGAGTGGTCGAGTATCCGCCCGTCCAGTTGGTAGACAACGAGGAGCCGGAGCCGGAGCGTCCGGAGCGTGTGGAGCGACCCAGTCGCCCACGCCACCGTAGCCCGAGACGCGGGCGATCTCCATCTCCACGGGAACGGGTCTTGATATCCGTCCCCTGTGTGATTCCGACGCCGAGGACCAATCAGCGCCCGATCCCCGGCTCCCAGATGATCAGCGAGACGCAGCCAGATCCCTTGGATCGGCAGGCGGGCGGTAGTCTCGATCACAGCAGCAGCCTCGAACTGGAGCGCTGTGCCCCCCTGGAGATCTTCCGATTCGCACTCAGGCTGGGCTACAACGCCCTCCTCTACCCATATGAGTTCGCCAAGGTGCTCATCCAGCTAGGCCACGAGCCCCTCCAGCCCAGGTCTTTTACTTGGGCGTTCGTCAGCCACCGACCACACCTCTATCTGCCGGGTGTTCACCGGTATGTACAGCACATCCATCAGGTGGACGGCTTTTACGGCCTCTACCGTGGACTGCCTGCTCGGCTGGTTTCCAGTGCGATCGACTACATGCTGGGGGACACCCTCTTGCACATCTTCCGGCTGAAGCCGTACCGGCGCAGCGACCAGTCGTGCCGTTGTCCGCCTGGAATGAAGGAGTTCCTCTACAACCTGTTCCGCGATACTATTCGCCTGGTGACTGCTGTGGCCCTGACACAGCCTTTTCACGTGATCATGATCCGCCAGATGGCCCAGTTCGTGGGCCGGGAGACGATCTACGAGGGCCTCGCCGGCAGCCTCATGACAATGGTGCACAACGACGGGTGGCTCGGCCTGTACGCCGGCGTGGCGCCCCGCTTCCTCAGCGAGTGGCTCGTGCTTTTGGTGACCAGTTCGCTGAGCCACTTTTGCCGCCGCTTCATACGGCTGACTCGCATCCAGCACCAGTACAACGCCGTGCTCATCCAGATGGCCGCCAGCCTCCTCGTCTATCCCCTGGAGGTCACCGGCTCCTGCATGGCCTGCGCCGGGGCCCCCCTAGTGGCCTGCGAGCCTCCTCGGATGCCGCTCTACAACCACTGGGCGGACTGCCTGTCCGACTTGTATGCCAGAGGTGGGCACAACCGTGGGGCTCTGCTATTCTGGCGCACAGTTCCTCGGATTCAGATGCAGCGCCACCAGCTGGAGCCGCCGCCGCGAGGTCTCCTGCGGGGGGGCTAGAGTCCTGGAGGAGCTGTTATGTATTTAAGGTGTGGTGATTGCAGATTGTGGAGCGTGTGCGTTAAAATTTTGTTGAGTGGAGGAAGAATGGTGTTGAACGAGTTTTAGAAAAGCAAAGACTAGAAGATAGAAGACGAGATTCAGAATTCGGAGTAGCCTGACACAGAAGACTGAGGAAGGCAGCATGAATGATAAGATCAGCATAGATCAAGGGAGGAAAAGATAACACGACCATGGGTCGCGATTTCAAAATTTAAAAGTGTCTTAACAGAGTTGCAAACCGGACCAAAGGATGTTTGAAAAACATACGAACGGATCAAGCTAGTGTTGTGAGCACTATTCTAAGGATGCAAGTCTCTAAGAAATGATGAGTCACAAGGATACTAGCTCTGAGAACGTAGCACTCATAGACGAAAAAAAAAGAACAGAAAATACTTGACATTGTTAAACTATGATTATAGAAGTTAGTTATGTTTTTATAGAATCTCAAAGGCAATTGCCTTTCGAGATAAGGACAAGACTTGATTGGATTTACGCAGCAATTGAATTGCAAACAAGGATAGACTATTTACAAGGATATACGAAATACAAGGATAGACAAATATCGTAGGCTAGACCTTCGAAAAATAATTTGATTGGAGAACTTGACTTGACTTTAAACATTTTCAAAATTCTAAATCTATGTCTTTAATTTTCGGCCTGCGGGCAAAATAAACCAGTTAGATGAATGTTAATTATTGTTTTTTAAAGAGGAATGGGGAGTCCTTCGAAAGGACCTCCACTCGGTTGTTTTCGCATTCATAAGCTTGTAAGGCAGGGCGTGCTCTTTATCTCTCCGGCCTCACTTCTCACTGTTTTCAGCAAATGTCAGCAGAGATTAGGCCACTGAAATCCTGGCCAAGAGCAAGGACACATGTACAGGATTTTATATACTCCCCGGCAGGACTCGCAGGACTCCACAGCAGCGCACAAACACACAATGAAGCGTAACTGGCAGCTGCACGTAATGAAAATATCAAAAATCTACAACAAAATGTGCCAACAGCCCAGGAAATGCTACAGTAGTCGAAAATCGGACGACCAGCGGGTTGCGGGTGGTGCAGTGTGTGGCAGGACCTCTGGCAGTGGCTCAGACACAATTCAGTTTTGGTTCATTTGAATGCGACACATTTGTGGGCCACACATGGCCGATCCGAGGGTAGCAATTGGCATGCAAGTTACTCTACAATTTGGCCGAACGGCTATCCTGTTTCGGTCTTAATAGCTTAATTTTAATATTAACTTTGGAATAGGCTTAAATGAGAGTTGGTGGATCAAGGGATATGGGTGCAGTCTGTAGCCAGAAGCACCTGGAAACTCCCTAAATGGCAGTTATGTCCTTCAGGTTCATTTGGGCCACAGAAATCAAGAGTCAAAAGTTGGACTTGCATCTTCCATAAACGTTGCAGAATTACCAACTATTAGGGCAGAGTGGGCGTGTGCTTGGGTGTGTGGGTATGTGGGTGGGTCGTGTATCGTCTTAATAACCAAAAAATGCCATCAGCCGTCAGCCGTCAGACTTCGCAGGACAAGGACTACGTGTCCTGGCTTCCCGGCTGCCTAGATTCCTGCAACATTCACGCATGCCTGACTAGTTACTGCCTCCAGTCGTACGCCTCCCGCCTTCCGCCTGCATATAAATGTATAAATGTACATGTCTATATGGGGATATATCGGACTGACTTATATGTATATATATAGTCCATATATATTCCTTGCCTGTGCTTGTGCCACTGTCGGTCTGAACACGAATCTGTTGTTACTGTCGCCTGGCAAAATGCAATTAGACTAACGATGCAACACAATTTTGTCTTCAGCTTCATAAAGATGCGAGTCCTGTGATAAGGATAGGCAGGCAGGGAACTGGCGTGCCTGGGGGGAAGCAGGGGGCTGAGGAAACTCAGAGTCAGATGGTCAGAAAGGAAGTTACGAGGGGCGTTTCTAAAGTCTAGTTTACACTTTTCCATTTGAGTGCATGGTTTTCTTGCTTAGTTAAAGCAAATCTTTTCTGGTCCATCCGATAGGTAGGTACATATATATATTTTTCCGAATTATTGAGGAATTAAGCTACTCGAAGCTCTGATCATGGAAAGGTATACCTTTTTCCGATCGGATCTGAATTGGAGGAGCTATGAGTATGGGAAGGTTGAAAAATGGGGAATTTTGAAAATTGTGTTTTTTGTAGGGGGACCCCTTGGAAAAATTCGAAAAAATTGAAAACTGCATTAAAGAAAAGGCTTGAATGAGGAATTAAGCTACTCGAAGCTCTGATCACGGAAAGGTATGTCTTTTTCCGATCGGATCTGAATTGGAGGAGCTATGAGTATGGGAAGGTTGAAAAATGGGGAATTTTGAAAATTGTGTTTTTTGTAGGGGGACCCCTTGGAAAAATTCGAAAAAATTTAAAACTGCATTAAAGAAAAGGCTTGAATGAGGAATTAAGCTACTCGAAGCTCTGATCACGGAAAGGTATGCCTTTTTCCGATCAGATCTGAATTGGAGGAGCTATGTGTATGGGAAGGTTGAAAAATGGGGAATTTTGAAAATTGGTAATTTTTAAGGGGGACCCCTTAGAAAAACTCGAAAAAATTGAAAACTGCATTAAAGAAAAGGCTTGAATGAGGAATTAAGCTACTCAAAGCTCTGATCACGGAAAGGTATGCCTTTTTCCGATCAGATCTGAATTGGAGGAGCTATGAGTATGGGAAGGTTGAAAAATGGGGAATTTTGAAAATTGTGTTTTTTGTAGGGGGACCCCTTGGAAAAATTCGAAAAAATTGAAAACTGCATTAAAGAGAAGGCTTGAATGAGGAATTAAGCTACTCAAAGCTCTGATCACGGAAAGGTATGCCTTTTTCCGATCAGATCTGAATTGGAGGAGCTATGAGTATGGGAAGGTTGAAAAATGGGGAATTTTGAAAATTGGTAATTTTTAAGGGGACCCCTTAAAAAAATTCGAAAAAATTGAAAACTGCATTAAAGAAAAGGCTTGAATGAGGAATTAAGCTACTCGAAGCTCTGATCACGGAAAGGTATGTCTTTTTCCGGTCGGATCTGAATTGGAGGAGCTATGAGTATGGGAAGGTTGAAAAATGGGGAATTTTGAAAATTGGTAATTTTTAAGGGGGACCCCTTAGAAAAATTCGAAAAAATTGAAAACTGCATTAAAGAAAAGGCTTGAATGAGGAATTAAGCTACTCGAAGCTCTGATCACGGAAAGGTATGTCTTTTTCCGGTCGGATCTGAATTGGAGGAGCTATGAGTATGGGAAGGTTGAAAAATGGGGAATTTTGAAAATTGGTAATTTTTAAGGGGGACCCCTTAGAAAAATTCGAAAAAATTGAAAACTGCATTAAAGAAAAGGCTTGAATGAGGAATTAAGCTACTCAAAGCTCTGATCACGGAAAGGTATGTCTTTTTCCGATCGGATCTGAATTGGAGGAGCTATGAGTATGGGAAGGTTGAGAAATGGGGAATTTTGAAAATTGGTAATTTTTAAGGGGGACCCCTTAGAAAAACTCGAAAAAATTGAAAACTGCATTAAAGAAAAGGCTTGAATGAGGAATTAAGCTACTCAAGCTACTACTAAGCTAGCTTTTTAAATTTTTTAAAAAATTTAAAACTGCATTTTAGAAAAGGCTTAAATGAAGGGTTTGGGGTTTAAAAACTATTATCTCGGAAAGATGTGCCTTTTTCTGATTGGATCTAAATTGGAGAATCTATGAAGAAAAATCGAAAATTTAGAAACTCGGTTCCTCTCTATGGTTATCGTCTTCCTAGACCCCATATCTTGTCAATTCTATCTATCTATCTAGTCTTCCTGATGTGGAGAAGACTTCGTAGTCCTTAGCTCTAGTTCTATTAAGCTACAACCCACAGAAGGAACTATATGAAGACCAGTATCTCCCCTCGTACATATTGTGGCCGTCTCAACGACTTGACGTTTAAGTTTTTTGCATATGTGTGAGTTTGTATCTGTCGGCATTGGGGCTAGTGTGTGTGTGTGTGTAGAGGAAATGTCGGACAAAGTCATGCATTTTCATGGGATAACTTGAGGCTTTGTGTGGGTCGGAGAGCTGGAAAGCTGGAAAGCTCCGGGTTCTGGGCCAAAACTAATTGCCGTGCGTTTGGTCTTAATTAACATTAATATCGGGTCCATTATTAAGTCAATTATGAATTATGATTGAAATCAGATCAAATTAAAGCCAGAGTGTGGGGGGATTGGTAACATATCTCCGATTTCTAAGGGCAGGATGTGCAGACAGACGTTCATTATAATTATCGGTAGCCACTAAAGACTTGTGTGGTTTTGTGTGTTTTTGTGTCTGCAATATAATATTAATGTTAATATTTAAATGAATATTAATATTAATAGTCCCTGCTCCACTCGACACTCAACAAAATCTCGTTGCAATAAAATGCTTAACGGATTTGTGAAATGTTTTCAAAGTGAAAGTTGTGCCCAGCAGGAACGGGATGGCATATTACTGATGTCCGGCATATTACGCATACGCCGCATGGGTCGCCGCCGTCGGCCGCTTCCGACAACAATGTTGGCGGTTTCAATTTTATAACGTTAAACCAATTAACAGGTTTTACAAACACACACATCGCACACTGGGTGAGTGTGTATTTATGAGGTGTTAATCGACGTCATTCTGATGTAAAACGCGATGAGAAGCAATATATATTTTATGAGTCGCGTAATTAACAGGCAACAACAATAACACACACCAGACACCTGCGACAGGTTAATGAGGCTTCATTGATTATGCATATGAGTTGGGAAAGGGGCGTGGCATTGTGGCAATGTGCCAGTGTGGCAGTGAGGCAGTGTGGCAGTGTGGCAGTGTGGCAGTGAGGCACTCATCCAATGCGGCAGAGTGGCGGCTTCCCACATCAAATTAAAATGTTACATATGCTAATGAAATCAACCAAAATTACGAGCAATTATGAATAGCTTAATGGGATTTCCAGTGAGTGGCATTGGTTTTGGTTTTCCCGCCACTCATCCTCCTCATCCTTAAAGACTCCCGGTTTTTTTCCAGCTTTTGGGTTTTTGTTTATCAAGAAAATAGGAATTCAAAGGCAGCCAGGTGTAAATTACAAAACTTGCAAGACTTTTGCTTGGCATTTCCTCGGCTCCTTTCTTTTCCTGTTCAGAAACCTCAGAAGAACAACACGATGATGACGCTTCTGCTGCTGCTGATGATGATGATGGCACTCCTGGTAGTCCTGGCGGTCCTTGCTGTCCTGGCACTCCTGTCGTCCTGGCGTCATAGCTGGCTGCCCAGCCAGGACCTCAACTCGAACGTAATGCCAACAATTACGCAGCTGAATATTTTATGAGCCAAGCAGATTAATATGAATATTTTATTATCATTTTAGAATCCTTATTCCTCGTCCTTGCTGCTCCCTGTTTCTCCCAGCCCTCCTGTCCCCT